TTGTGGGCCAAAAGACAAGACATGCTGCAGCTTAGGAGTTATTTTAATTTCAGGGTTCTTTTTTTTCTTTTTAATGGAGAAAGAAGTTCAAACTGCACCTGGCAAAATGACTGACTTCAAAAGCATGTTTTTCCTCATTATATAGACACTCACAAAACAGCATTGTGTGGCTAAAAAGGCACATTTGTGACAGTTTCTTTCCGAGTGCCAAAATATATAAGCAGTATTGTTTGAAGGGAAATAAAAATTTTTTTACTGTATTGTTATTATTGTTGAACAAATATATTGTTTTTAAATGTTAGATTTTGAAGACTTTTGTATTGTAAATTGTTTTGTGACACGGTGCTTTTTCATACTGGAATTACTGATTGCACCTAAATATGAATTATTGCTTTCTTATATAAATATGTGACCTTGAACAATCTTGATGAAAACCAATGTGTGGTGGATACCAACAGTTCAAAAAGATTCACCTACTGAAATCCCCTGAATGTTCTTTCCTACTAATAAACATTCTGCTGCAGCTAGCCATGGTCTGTGTGCTTTACTCTCTTCACGGTGGAGCCTTAAAGCCCCATGGTCTGGGGAGAAAACCCCAGAGAAGCCTTTGCCTGCTGCCTTCACAGCTCCTGTCCCACTCACTGCTGTGGGCACAGGCAGCAGCCAGGAAAGCCAGCGTGGAGGGCTCAGCCAGGGCTTGTGCACGGGTGCTGGGTGCTCCACTGCTAACACAGTTTTACTCCAGCAGCTAAAGGCAGCAGCTGGGCAAGGAGTAGGATATCAGGGTTATAAAAGCAAAAGGACAGCACAAGGCTGAGAGCCCTGGTCCTCTGAAGCTGGAAAGAACAGCTTAGCTGATTGACAGCAACTTTCCCTGCTATAGATAAATCCCTTTCGAGGTTTAGGGGACCTTTTTACCCCCTAATGACTAGCACACCATCAAGGGAGCAGGACGTGGCAAGGGAGCATGGGCTGGCCGTGGTTAGTTGCCCCGAGATGTGGATGATGAGGGGGCAGTAGAGTTTGTCACAGCAGGGACTCCTGCCAACCTCAGATGTGCTCTGGAGGGGGCTCGCTGATGCTTCTGTGCATGCTCCTTAAACTCCTCAAATTTTTACCTAGGTTACATTTGGAGCTGGGATTAGCTGAATGCAAAAAGTAGTTTAAAGCCTACTGGAAGGTAACAGAAACCAGTACCTATTTCCTTTTGAGATTTAAAAAAAAAAAAAAAAAAAAAAAAAAAAAAGCCTATTTGTGGAACTGCACATTAATATGAGCTTGAGACAGTCTGGAGCCAGAATGAATTATCAGTTACCATATTCAGTTATCTCCTGTGCTCAGTGCAAACAGGCTTTATTACACAAGCTTCCAGTGTGCCAGACTCCCTGTGATGTGCATTCTCCTCACCCTCCCCTTAGGGCCATCATACGATTTAGCATAAAAAGACCGGGTGTAAGGAGGTGTTTATTTGTACAGGGATACTAAAATCTCCACTTACCACCTTTGCCGTCCCTCCCTCGCAGCATCTCAGCATCTCGCTGTGCAAAGGCGTCTGCCCCAGGCATGGGAGCACGTGTTGCAATCCTGGAGTGGACCTCCCACCACCTCAGGGAGGAGGGAAGTTGTGATCCTGTGGCTCATGGCCCCATCTGGGAAGCAGCATGCTCCAGAATCTATCGCTGTTCTGGTGCAGCACAAATTGAGCCAAGAGATTGGGAAGGTGCCGAAAACCACAGCTTTGCTCCTCCACTGAGTCCCCTGACGTTTCGGTCAGGAGCTAGAGGTGGAGTGTTTTGCTCCCTGCTCCTAAGAGGGGGTCAGTTCATCTTAAAGACCTTTAATTAAGGTGACTCGAGTCACCTTGCTAAAGCCTGGCTCAGTTATGCCAGACAGAGTCCAACCCTTGAGCACACAGCGGGTGCGGTGATTCTCATCAGCCAGCACACTTCTTCCCACCCCTCCATGGCCTCGCAGATGGAGCACTGCCAACCACACAGCTTTAAAGCATTTACATTTTAAGAGCCACTCAGTAAAACTACTTCCTATAAAACATAATTAAACATTTATCACAGGCAATGCCCAGGAAATGTGATTACCTTAAAGAGCTCCATGGGAGCTGATCCTGGCTCACCCTGCACTGCTCAACCAGAGCACTGAACTCCTCCACCCCACTGTAAGACAGGGCTGCCCTGCTACTGCTTGGGGAATCAACCTTTGCTGAAGCAAATGCTTTCCCAAGCAATTTCCCACCTACTAAGATGTTCTCACCTCCTGAATCTTGTTTGAAAAGCCAAACTCAACTGGTGGAGGATAAAATCTTTGATGAAAATGTTTTACGGCAAGATGTGTGGCCAGGTATGCTTCAGTGCTTTTGGAGTAGATGTGGGTAAAGATCTCAACTCAGGTGGCCAGGAGTCACAAAGATGTTAGTGTCAGTGCTTCTAGCCAAGTTCCCAGGACACTCCAAAATGTCACATAATCACAGAATGCTTGCGGTTGGAAGGGATTTCTGTAGCTCATCTGGTCCAATCCCCCTGCTCAAGTAGGGTAAATGAGAGTTGGTTGTCCAGGACCATGTCAAGGCAGCTTTTAAATATCTGCAGGGATAGAGACTCCACAACCTCTCTGGGTACCTACTCCAGTGCTTAGTCACACTCACAGTAAAAAGCATTCCCTGATTTCAAAGGGAACCTCCTGTGTTTCAGTGTGTGTCCACTTGCCTCCCGTCCTCTCCCTGGGCACCATTTAGAAGAGCCTGACTCCATCCTCTCTGCACCCACCTTTCAGGTACTGCTCCACACCAATACTCTCTCCCCTGGAGAGATGTAGTAATACACACCACAGCTACAGAAATATTATCTCATACATAGGAATATTTATTTTTTTCCTTCTTAAAAATGTACAAAAAATAAAATAACTGTATTTACAGCTTATCAAACCCCTCTCCCAGTTGCAACACTATTAAGTTACATGAGCTATATTCTTAATATAAAAGCACGCTATTTATACATTAAGTTTCCTTGTTTGCCAGAAAGACGGCTTGTCACAATCTTTGGCACAAACATTCATGTTTGTATCTTGTCTCAGTTAATAGGAAATGGAAGAGCATATAAACATTTAATAAGCTTTACATTTTATAAGTCATAAGATACTCCTTTCCAGTTCCAGTTGTATATTCAATCAATATACAGCATCTCTGACAGCTAGAGAGTTTAGATTTTACTAATTGTTTGAATTAATTTACATTTAAACAATTCATAGAATGAAAGAGAAAAATATATAAGAAAGACATTTGATCTCTGAATTCCATTGACCAAAAACTTTGTGAGAGAGGACACACAAGAAAAAAACCCATTCTTTTCTTTGTAGTTTACACTCAGTAGTAGAAACACTCCAAAATGTCTTGATGGGGTTATCACTGTACATTCACAAAGCTTCACTCAAACTAGGCACTTCATTTTGGGAATAAAGCACCTGACTGTGAGAAAGAACTAGAATTTGAGAATTTGAATGGGATTTCATAATAAAACACCAAATGGACGGACAAAGTGCCAAATCTGCAGCAGGAACCAAAATTAGAAGACCTTTTGTACCTCTCTATCAGAGTCTTTCAAAACACAACATCTACAGACACTGCACTGCTATAACTCTTCATAGGGAAAATGCACTGAGCAGCAAGCCACGCTTCAGGCTGAACTAGTTAAGATTCAAGACTGCTGTCTTGAAGAATAAAAGGAAATGAGAATTTTGTTCCTTTAAATAAACAACCACAGCAGTGCCACAAAGAGACAAAAGGAGGCAAGGCAGATATTCCTGTCCCCTGCCAAACAATAGTCAAATCTTACTTCCATTTAATTGATAATATTTGGAAGATACAGCATTAATCAATATTTTTTTATCAAACAAAAGCAACATGCATATTTTAAACAATATACATGTAAGCACTGTGTACTCCTCAGGATATCTGAGTCAAGCAGGGCACAAGGCAGCCACTGCTTCAGAAGTTTGCATTACTCACACCACTCTTGCCCCTTTCCCATCACTCTGATGGGCTGATTTGGACCAACAAGGTGAAGCCTGAGAGCTTGCAGCTTGCCACAACCAGCACCCCAAGGCTCAGTGCTCCTCCAGCAGCTGATGCTGTAACTACTGAAGGGGTGCAGCATGTATATTCAGTCTTAGTGCCTGTGATGCACCTGCATCTGGAGCAGAGAAACAAAGCCCTCAGACCCTGGCAGATAAAGTTAAGGGCAAACATCCTTACTTAGCCCTAGCTGTTGTTTTAAAATAATCTTGCCACCGATCTAGTCACCTTCCTGATAACTTCATTCAGACTGTAAGAAGGAACTAAAGGCATAAGTGTCAACTTTCTACTATCAAGAATTTGCACACTTTAAGATGTATTTAGCTTTCAGTTAATCTTGAAAGCAAGTCCTTTTCTGGACAGTGGCTGACTGAAAGGTCCTAAAATGACAATGGAAAGATAGCTCTTTATGCCCCAGTATTCCTGGAGCATTGCACTTCTCACTGATCCCGCACTGCTCCTCATCACAGGATGCTGCAGCACCAAACAGATCTTAGCTCATCTTGACCCAAATGTAAGATAAAACCATCCCATTAACCTGAGTGCTGGTGCTGCCAGGAGAGCCTGTCCTTCTCTGTGATCCCCAAATTCTCAGTGGCCTTTCTTAATGCAGTACATTCCAGCCCAGGCCAGCCCCAGGTGCCACAGGCATTCCCTAATGCAGGTTTGTTGGGGGCAGAACCAGGGCTCATCTCCTGCACACATTAGCTCCTTCGCTTCACCTGCAGCTTCTGCCCAGATATCTTGACCAGCTGAGAGAGCCCAGATGATATTCTGAGGATTCCAAACACCAAAAGAGAAATCCAAGAACTAAGAGTATTGCTCACCAGCCCTGTGTGCTGGTCCCAGTTCCTATGCCTCCTGTGCAAACTTTTTTTCTTTAAGAAAAAAATATCTGGAATAAATCAGTATAGCAAACTGAACCATCATAAATCTCTTGTATTCCCAGATTGTTTGTTCTTGAGCAGGGTAGCAAAAGCATCTTTGCTGGAGTGCATCTTTATATACAGTTAAGGAAATTACAACAGAACTCTTCATCAGAAGGGGAAAGAGTGCATGACAAAAGAAAAGGACAGGAGAAAGACAGAATACACACTTTGCTTTACAGGCTATGTGGATTCTGAGTATGTTAGCACTGATGCTACCAGCCTGAACCTTTTATACTTTCTGGTCCCAGAAAGGTCACAGAAACCTTGACATATACCTAACATTTCTATTAAAGGAAGAGATTTTAATGGGATGCTACTGCTAATGAAGTTCAGAAAGTGTGCAATAACTTAAAGGACAATTCATGCAGATATGGCCAAATCAGACTGGGAAGTTATCCCAGCTACTTTGCTTGAACGTAAATAGCTTCACACAGCTCAAAACACTACATGAGCGCTGTTAAACAAGGCAGTGTTTCTTTCTGCCATTAAACACCAAATAATAAAGGTTATGTGACTAAAGGAGAAAAGGTTTCAAAAGGAAAAGAATAAACTCTAAAAGCTGCATGTAGGAAAGGACCCACACTTCTGTCTGTCACACAGGATCCATGTACAGTGCATATAGAATAAAATGCAACTGCAACTCATAGAATTACATGCTAAATGAGAAGCTCTTTACAACAGCCAGAGGAGCTGGTATGGAGAGAGAGATGGTCAGTTTGGATGTCATAGGATTGGATTCAGGCCATGAACCCCTTTCCTGGTATGATTTTAGCCTGCACAACTTTATCACTTCACAGAATTCACAAGATAGGTGTGGAATTTGATTGGAATAACCATGTAGTTCAACTTGGATTCAGATGCAGCCCTTGAGAGAGAGACCAATCTCCACACCTCAGTTGTGGGATACTCAGTCTCCACTGGAAAAATTGTTCCAGTTTTGATCAAATATTTGCATCAAGCCCTTATGAATAAGCCCAGGCTTATACATCACCCAAGCATCCTAGGAATCACAACAGAATCATTCAATGGAAATACAAGAGCAAATACACTTAAACAGAAGAGTCTGAAGTCCTGTTTCTTACAGTCTAGAGGAGTGCTTTGATACTGCTGCAGAAAGAACCTTCCCACCACAGGTTTAAGAAAAGGCCACTTTAGGAGCCTCTGCTTTATCAAAGGAAGACAACCAGGAAGAAGTACCTTCTGTACCTCTTGACAAACCAGGCAGCAGACACACTGTGTCTCTTGGATTTTGTTACAGCTGAATGGGAGACTCAGGTATCTACAGCCGGGACTTGGGCACCTAAGATGGGCCCCATTGTGCCGAAGCATCCAGTAGCAGAGTCTGCTCTAATATTTCAACATGCAACTATGTGAGCAAGGATGGAGCATATGAGTACAGATTCAGGTGTCAGCTTCTCAGTACACACTCTTTAACAGATTGCAGTAATTTAATTCTCTAGGAAAGATTCTATTAAACCCTAAACCAAATACATACAAAAACATAGTGGCAGTAAACATGCCCACATACAGTAGTTAAAATATATTATTGCATATTATAAACATTATATACAAGATTAAAATGGTTTCTTTACCATTTACTTACAAGTGACATTTGTAGCTGAATGCCTTACTTACAAGTCCTCATTGCTACATGCTGAGAACTACAGGAGGTATTTGGCAAGACTATACAGTATAGAGAGATATGGATCAGTCTGAGCAAGTGAACTGTCACACTTTGCCCATCTTTAGCACTGCAACAGATTTTTAGCAATGACAGAGACAACTACTGGTAAAGTGATTTATACCAGATTCTGAAATTAGACCAGCATAGTTACTGAACATGTTTTAGAATGAGCTTATCCACACTAAAGTATGGATTAAAATGCTGCATTTCACACTTGCAGTGGGTCACCTGGTTACAAATCTGGGGGCTGGTAACTGCTTGTACACTAGAGAGTGGGGAACAATAAATAAGGGACCAGGTTAACGTGAGTGGCCTTGTGCTTGACAAACCCAAGTCTATATGCAGTGGGTGCACACATGCAGAATAGACAGTATTTTCAATGCAGTCTTGTAACAGTTTCTCTGATCAATGTCGGTCAAGTTCACGGGGAATCTGCTTTCCAAGAAGGATGAAATGCTGTGGTTCCTTACAAAAAGGCTCTGCCTGAGGCTAGATCTCTGTCAGTGTGATCTTGAAGCCTTCAACCATGCTCTCCATGTTCAGGATGAATGTGTCCTCATTGGAGTAGTGCTCAATAATGTTGTCATCCATGTTTACCAGGATACTGGTGACAAAGGCAGAAATCAATGTTTTTATGCACCAGGACACTGAAAGGAAAAGCTATACATGCTGCCACATGTACTTGCTTCTCTACAACACAAAACCTGACTCCAGAACATGCCAGGACAGGGTCACTAGTGGAAATTATCATCAAGATCTGCCCTGTAGTCCCTCACAGTATTTGGATTAGAGGCTGCTCCTTGACAAGTAAAGAGACACACTAGTGCTGGGATGTTAACACACTTAGGCTACTGACAGATGAGCTGCACTGCACATCCCCAGCAGACCCAGCTAGCTGGTGCTTCCCATGCTTGGCATTGGCTCCCACAGGGATACATCCATGCCACTCCTCAGGCACACCATGTGAGCTGCTGCACACAGAGAAGCAGTGGAATTTGTGCTTTGCACACAGCTCACAGAGTTAGAACTCAGCTTGGATGTGAGACTACCAACAATGACTATTAGAAGTGTATATGTGTGTTTTCCTCACTTCTTTCTTCTGTGTTCCTTCTGCCACTTAGAAAGAAGCAGAACATGAGAAGTTTTGCCTGTCTTCTCAAAAGCTAAAGAAATCCCTAGATACAATAATGCCCTAAAATGGAGTTATAGCTGCAAATAAATTATTGGTTTAAAATTATATCACTACAATACTGTGGTTAAACAGGACCTTAAAAAATTGAAGATTTAGTTTTATGGCAAGGAGCAGGAGCTATTCCAAAAGTATAGCTGTAATGTTCATATCTGAATTTATTCAGCTGAAACCCCTTCAGCAAACATTGCTGCCTGTCCTTCAGAGTAAGACAGTGGCCTACTTCTTCCTAGCACTGCAGGAAAACTCCACACTGCATTCACAGCAAAGGCAGAATCTCCCATGCTGGCCCTCCATGATGTAATTAAGTGTATTGTCTACAAAACAGACTTTATCCACTTATGCTATCCACAAACCCTTTCTTCACAGTAAGCATATGAACACTGGTCAGACACAGATTGGAGATCCATGTTTCCTCTTCTGCCATCCCTTACAGTCTCCACAGACATGATGATTTCACACACCTGGATATGTCTCTTGAAAGGGTTTGTGCTGCCCAGCATCATGAGGCCCCAGGTATAATTAAGATATCTGAGTACTTTGAAAGGATCCTGCAATAGATCCTTAGTTAGTTAGGTAACTAACTTACCCCTTTTTGCTCTTCTTATAAAGTTTTGCAATCTTTTCAACTGGCAGCCCATATTTCTCAGAGATCTGAAATAATAAAAATAAAATAAATATCACTAAAGATGAGTGAGAAATATAAAATTATCACTTCTTACCTTACAGAAGACATTAAAACAAAATCTCTGCAAACTTAGACAAGATAGCTATACAGAAAAGTCTGTCACAACCATATCATGCTTTCATTTAAGGATGACTTGGGGAGCAATAATGCTGAACAGCTTAATCAAAACCCACAATTGTCTCCATCCAGAAACTCGAATACCATAGTTTTTAGAGGGTGTGAGTCATCAGAACTGCCCCAGCATCTCCTAGTGCTCTGCTCAAGGAGTCAATGCTCTTCCCAGCTTCAGATTTTACCAGGGAATTTCAATCTGATCTTTCTGTTTTTTAATCTGATTTTTTGGGCTCATGGACACAAAGGCTTCTCCCACCAGGTAGAAGGCAGACACATGGCAACCCAACAGGAACTGATGGACTGATGGAACAACAGAAACATACACATTTATATTTCTCAAAGACATTTCAAGGTTTGTTAAGCTAAGAGGACTCTCCATGGTGGTACTTTGGTCTGAAAAGTATCTTCAAGGTATCTTTTATTGTGGGAGGACTACTGACATCAAACATATGGGACTAAGAAGCTTCTGTACTGTTGGGAATGTCACTCAGTCTAGTTTCTACAGGAGCAAAATGAAGTCACTATTTGGCTCACAAAATATCATCTGAGGGTATAGATAATAAGATGAGATGTCACAGAGCAATGTGTTGTCAAGGTAAAGGACTTGTAAAATAAACTTCTTGCTAAAGCAACTAAAACAATAAAGCAGAAAATACAGTAAAAATTTAGAAGGAAGATCTACTTAGCTGACAAATTACCCATGCCAAAAAGTACTTCACTGGGATGCTTTGGCATTGCTTTGCAGCAGGGTACCAGTAACTTTTTTGGATGTCTATTCTGCAGTGAGTCCATGGTGTGCTTATGAAGATGGTGTCCCTGGGCCCTTCATCTGAGCCAGGTTTGCTTTATTATTATAACAAATTATAATTCTTCTTTCAGGGAACACGTCTCACAGTTCACACTTTAGAAGAGGATTGTCCCAAAAGGCAAAATAGTTACAGGAAAAATTACTTTTTCCCCCACAGTGATTAATGTTCTGTGCTGCTCTGTGCTGCCAAGCAAAGTTTCCAGCTCTTCCCAGGTGAAACAAAGTTGCAGCTAAACAGCTGACTACTTATCTTCTGCATTAGAGAACTGAAATGCATAATTAAAAATCCATTTAAAGACTGGCAAACAACAGCCACTGTAAAATCCTTTCTTTTGTTTGCATTCAGAGTTCTGTTATCAGCAATTATCATGAAAGAGAAAATGTAATGGATAAACTCAGCACCCTAATAATGCACAAGGGCATCAGCTTGGCATGCATTTTATAGAATAACTACAAGATTCTGAAGAACCAATAAAACTTCTCTTACACTGAAAACAGTGTCCTCTGACTATCAGCATATATCAGTGGCAAACAGAAAGGGGAATAACTGATGAGGTACAATAGACCCATCCACTCCCTAAGTTTTCCATCTAGCAGAGAACATCATGCAAATTGAGCTTGGGTATTATTTGCTACTTCAGTTTCACTTGCACCAGCATGTTTCACTGTTTTTTTACTTTTTATTATCCTCTGGCTTTGCTTATCATGAACAGAATGACATCAGATGAACAATCTGGTGTTGAATTTTTGTATCTGTTCTTCTGTTGTACCCCTAAATTTAAGTTTTCATGTAAAGCAATAATAAAAATAGCTCCATTTCATCAGACAGTTGAAAAAAATCCTTTGTAACTGGCATTGGAGAAAAACTGGCAACCCAAAACTGCAGAAAGCGTCACAACTGTGTGAACATGAGGAAACGATCTTCCTCTCTGGGTTGTTAACTCTGAAGCCTAGTGATATTGTAAAGATCAGCACTTGAAGACACTTTTCACTGACTCCATGCAAATAAACAAGGCGAGCAAAACATTTCTTGCCAAGGAGGCTTAATAGCAGCTAATATACAGCATTCTGCGCATTCCAACATAAATCTTCCCTAGGATATTTGGCATACCTAACACTCATGCATTCCAAATGTTGCTCAAAGCAGTTTGGGACTCTGGGACATCACTTCCTACATAAACTATGAGAGGTTGGGCTGAGAAAGCCTTGCCTGTCACACTGCCTATGACAGGTGTAGGATTTATATAACATGCAGGGATTAGTGAGCTTTGCGAAAGATTTCCAGCTGACTGAATAAGCACATTTCTCAGGAACCCCTGGGATTCAATCAATTATACCAAACAGCAAGCTGTGGAAGCAAGGCTTAAAGTGGGGGTATGGGAGAGCCTCCCCCTCACAGTCTCCAGTACAAATGTGCTAAGTCCTACTGCAGAATTAAGAAAGCAGAGAGCAAGCATCTGCTAGGGCATTTCACTTAACACCCTCTTCTCAGGGTGTTTGCTGCCAGTGCAGGGGGACCACCACTTACTGTCAACTTCCATACAAAACAACAGAATTTCTCACCTTTACCCAAGCAGGCTACATTAAATTTTAAAAATTTTAAAATTTTATTTGGAGGAATGTTTTTCCTTATCATCTTCATTGTCCATTTATCAATCTTCTGAGCAGAGATTTCTTTCTGTTAGGATGCCCAAAGCAGTGTGACAGCCTTCCAAGTGCCACTGAAATAGATGTGTCAGGGTGTCCCTTTGGGCTGCAGTCCCCTGGCATGACAAGTTTGTCTGATTGCACAAGCCACCAGAAATGCTCTCTGCTGGAGTCAGGAAGCCAGAAAGGACAATGTCTGGGTGGGTGAGGGCAAGTAGGAAAACACCTTTGCCAGCTTGTTTCTATGAAACAGTCTAGTCTGTTGCCCTAGACTGGCTGGAACATCACATATATAGGCAGGTATCTAATAGTCTAAGCTAGCTCTGTTGAACTCAGCTGTTAGCTTTTAATTAGTGAAAGACTTAGGGAGATGCTTGAATTTCCCAATTTAAATTGCCTTCTGTAATTTGAATAAGTATGTAATTTTGCACAATGTAAGACAGAGGTACCTACTGAGATCCACAGTTATCCTGACTTTGGATCAGGCTGGAAGCAGGATGAAGAGCTGGTCAGACACCACATATGTGTGATGTTTTGCTATTTTCTGTTGAACAAGACTAGTGAAAACCAAACATCTGAGTCACTTCCTGAGACATGCTGCATTTCTGAAACCCAAGACCTCTAGATATTTGCCAAAAGAAAGATATGTGAGAAGGAATCTAATTGTTAATTTGGAAGGGGGGTATATGTGAGAATAAAATAAACATAGGATCTGAGAAAAACATATAATTAATAACAGAAAGATAGGAAAAAGTCAGAGATCTGAAATAGTGACTAACAAAAGGAAAAAAAAAGTAAAATCCATAAACAGAGAAGGAGGGTATGACTGAGGATCACTGGAGCTCTCTTTCACATCTGGAGCTCTGTAATACTCAGAGACTGAGTTCCTAAATTCTTAATATGAGACTAGAACGGAGCACTTAGGATATGAACAATTAAAATTACATGATTTGCTACAATGACTGTAGAGAGAATATTTAAGAATATGCACTTTGACAGCTTTCTATCCACAATATCCTACCAAAGAGAATTAAAATTTTCTGAACATCTTCCTTCCAGTGAACTGGGATATTTTACAACAGATTAGATTTCTTTGGTGCTGAAAACATGCCAGTGAGTCAGCAGCTGCAGTGACTGAGGTATGCAGAAACCTTTCCTGCTTCTGCACCAGCTTTGTTTTTGTTATATGGTGGCTGGAGAACAGGCATGGAGAGGCACAGACTACTGGAGATAAAATATTAATTTTAGCTTGAACAGTTATAGAAGGATTATAACATACTTCCATACAAAGACAAGATGAAATCGTGTTGCAGCCTACCATGAATCAGACTGCTGCCTCTTCAAGCAAAGCCTGTTTTTTGTTATCCATGTGCTCTGCCTGACAGCTGAGCTGCAGTCACAGATAACAAACAGCATCAGCAGAAGCACAGTTAGGACATCCTTAGCATGCCACTGACTCTCCCCAGAGATACTCTCATCTAAATAGGTGCTTTAAACTTCATTAATCCACAAATCCTTTTCTGCCTTCTGCTACTGGCCAAATATTGACCAAATAACTCTATCTTTACTGCATTAAAAGTGTTCAGTGCATGCAATGAGATACTGTGACAGTTTTAAGAGAATATAAATATACACACTTATAGCATTCAGCTGAGTTCTCTAGGGGCACTTTCATGCATTTCCGTCTTCTCCCCTACACGTAAACAAGGCTGGAAATCAACTCAGCATCCCACATGTCAATCTCACATTCCCCCACTGAAGCAGTGAGACACATGATTATTTCTTAACTCCTCCCTTAACAAATTTCATGAGCCATCAGCTCATAAAAATAGGATTAAACATGGAAATAGCAAATTTTATGATGACAGCTAATGGCTAACAAGCAAATACTCAACTCAGAGAAGCAGCAAAGAGGCTACTGGTACGTAGGTCACACTGTGAGGGCTAGAGAAGGAACTTGACACAATCTATGAATGACAAGTCATTCATACATGCTGAACAGCAATTGCACAAAGGCTGTATGAAATTCCCACAGAAATGGTGCATCATTTGGTCTCTTCTTGGAAACCAGGCTGGGAATGTACTGGTAAGCATTACAGGAAAAGACTCAACAGGCTCTGAACCATCAGTTCAGAAAGAAGCATTTCAGAAAATGAAGCTTGCACCTCTCTCCCACCCTGACACTGGTTAACTACTGCTGTTGATCAAAGCTCAGGTCTCCAATAATCAGCTCTGTGATGCTGTCTAAACCCAGTAACCTGCTGACGACGCTGAATTAGGAAAATGCCAGCATTTCAGAGCTGCACTTCAAAAAGCCTTTAAGAAATGCTTTAAACACATTTGAGAATAATTTCATCTTTATATTATGGTTTATCTCAATAATATACGGAAAGCCTCAAGATTTTCTTGCCAAGAAAGACAAACAATGTGAGGATATCGGATACTTACAGCTTCCATTAGCCCCTTTACTGTGGGTGATTTTAGCATCAAAGCATCAAACACCTCATCTGTCTCCTTCCTCACATACAAAAGCACTGAAACAGAAAAAAAAAATCAAACTTGGAGCAGGTTCAATCAATTGCACAGATGAAATACCCCACACTGAATAGAAAATCAAATATTAATCCATGACAGAAAAATAAAGCACTGAAGATGGTTTGCACTTAAAAAGATGTGCCTTTAATATCATCAGTGATCTGGACATGGACAACACATCATAGCTGCATTGAACATACAGTACTGAAAATTCAGCAAATTTAATCGAATGGGAAGAATCTCTATCTTCCAGAATCTAAATCTCCATTTACAGAAAGAAGCTAAAAAGCACCCTGTCCCTTGGTTATAGGACAAAACACACAAGTCAGGTCTTCTTAAACCTCTGTCTTGGCTTGTACCTCTCCAGGCTTCATCTAAAAGGCTGGAAAAGGACATTCAAAAAAGGCAAGTCAGGGTTGCCTTTAGCTGTGGCTTTGAGAGAAAAATCAAAGAAAAGGTAAAGAAATAGTTGTCTCTGACATGCAGACAACTGCAAATGGCCTGACCAGTATGAAAACAAACACTGGAAAAAATTAGTTCAAAGTCATTTGAGATTTTACAGAGGAGACATTCAAGAGCACAGCTGGCAGGCAGGCATTTTACCAGTGTGCCCACCTGCTTAGGTACCCAAATGCCATTTCTGTTTCTTTTCTCCCCCTAGATGCCCTACTAGCTGTTAGTTATCCACAGGCACAGTGCTCTGCCCTCTCTAGCTTTTGCTTTCTTCACATGTGTACAGGTAAAAGGAGGAACCTTGCTAAAACATGGCAAAGGCAAAGCATATAAGCATAGACACTAGAAAAGTGTTTTAGGCATCATCTCATATGACTGATAAGTAACAGGTTGAATAAGATGTTCTACAATTTATTTTGTTTCCTAAATAAACTGCCTTTTCAAATAGCACTGCTGCACATGAGGTACAAATACACATGCACTGTCATGTCTGTGTGGCAAATTACAGTGGTAACTTTTTTTTTGTAGATAGAAAAGGGCATCTTTTACTGCCAATTCTTATGGTCCAAGAGATAGCTTCACCATATAACTCAATAGATATCATGCAGATGAACTAAAAAATATGGCTATTTTTCATATAGAAGTAACTGTGTAGAAGTTAATTCTCAGGCCAAGACTCTAGCAGGATGGAGTTAGGCCTGTTTGCAGAGAATTGTAGTTTCTTTGCCTACGTTTGGAAATGACTGGAAAAAAATCACGGGTAGTTCAGTCCCCTGACTTGGTCTACAAACCAAACATGCAGAAAAATGTTGGGTTTTTTGAATATTCAATTCAGAAATATAAACCATGAAACTGCTACCACAGCATGCAGAGTGATATCCTTTTCACCTATATTTTGGCAACTCTTTGGGGCCTGGCCTGAAAATATCCTTTTAATGCACTTGGAAGCTGAGTCAACTTTGGGTCATAACTTAAACTGTCAAAATGTAAAAGAAAAAAAAAATCCACACCAGGAATTAATTTTACCATACATGATATGTTTAATCACATGAACAAGCTCAACTCAATGGGTTAATTTTAGCAGTACTAACACTTATATCAATTTAGTACACCTTTTCCTTGTGCCTAGAAGGCTGTCCTGTAACTCCTAGCTTTACAAACATGTGGAGCTCTGCCAGCCTTAACAATTACAAATATATCTGAAAGGGGAAAAAAAAATCACTTGGTCCAAGGTTAAACTTGGGTACATTACACAATCCTGGTGCTGAGCTTCACATCTGTTGTGCTTGGTGTGCCAGGCAACATTATACACACAGAGAGGCAGGATTAGTAAGCACATGGAGGGTTTTGAGGTTTTTCTTTTCTCTGACAGGTGTGAAACTGCTGGCCTTGATTCAGTAGATTACTTTTCCACAAATGACTTGTGGTGACAGTGATACCTCAGGAAGCCCCTGTCTCATCCCTGCCCTTACACCCTCTTACTCTGGCTCATCTCAACAAATTTTCCTGGATGACAAATTCTCTCAAACAGCAGACAGAACTGCAAAAATCAACCCTTTATTGAGTTATTACTCAAACAGATCAGGTCCCTGTCTCAGTGTACAGTGAAGCCCCACAAGCTCTAATGCTGGCAGAGCAGTGGAGAGACAGCCGCAGCAGGAGGCACAGCCAGAGAAGAAGGGAAAGGGCTGCAAAGGCTTCATTGGGCTCAGCAGCAGCAATGCCACTGAATGACTGTGACCATGTAAGACAACTCATGTCCTCTGATCCTGCTGTCACCAAATTCATAGCTTCTACAGAATTCAACAGAATCACTGGGTTGGAAGAGATCCCCAAGATCATCGAGTCCAACCCATGCCCTAACACTTCAACTAGACCATGGCACTGAGTGCCACATCCTGTCTTATTTTAAACACATCCAGGGATGATGACTCCACCACCTCCCCAGGAAGACCATCCCACTACTTTATTATTCTTTCAGTGAAAAACTTTTTCCTAATATCCAACCTATATTTCCCTTGGCACAGCTTGAGACTGATCTAGATGGGCTCACTCTAACAGAACAAATTACAGTAATTGGAGGGGAACAAGGGTGACATCTTGTACAAGGTAATGAGCTATTTTTTGCCTAAAAGTTAAAAGATAAATACAAATTTGTCTGATCTACTCCCTGATCTTAGTCCTTAACCTTCTTGCCAGCACTGAAATCCATTGCAGACCTTAATATTTTTTAGATGTTAAAAATACTTGCAAAAGATGGAGGGAGATAAATGTCTTTAGTTACTTGAGAAATAGCCCAAACACACCAAATTGCAGAGGGGCAAACAGCCTTTGCTCAAGGCTCATGCTCAAGGGATGTTGTTGCACCAGTGAAACTTTTGGAAGCTAGGCCACTGAATTGAGGATTTTTGTATGAATGCAGAACAATGTTAGATACCTCTTTTAAAATTGTTAACAACAACATACATGAGGAAAAATGAAGCACTAAGATTTGAGGCATTTGGAAGCTCTGAGCCTGGGCACTACCAGTGCTGTGACTGGAACCACATGAACAATGACTACAGTCTCTGTTAAATAGCCTCTGGATGAAGATGTGGTACATCTAAGTAAAGGAAAGAAGGGCTGGTAGCTGTAATTCGGCTTTCTTTTCTCACATTTGGGTTTTCATTATTGCCCAGGCACAAATTCCTTTGGATGGCTCTCAACCCCCTGATTGTTATGAATACAAAATGTTTCAGAGTAGTTTAACATGACTTTCCTAAGAGACAAAAGCTAGAAAGAAATTACTTTCTCGAAAATGAGAACTACAGGACTAGAAATACACCTGATCTATAATTCAGATGCTGGATTTATAATTAATGGGAAACTCCCTATGAAGTCTGAAAGGGAAAGTGATTTGGAAACTTACTGAGAACTAAAAACAGGAAAAAGCCAAGTCTAGTCAAGTAACTAGCTGTGATGCACATTTGGTACAGATTAACATACTTCACATTTCTGTGTTGGGTGAATTTTTTCATCTTAGAGGTAAAGAAGATGAAAAAATAATTCAAAAAGAGGCAGCTACCTGAGTGAGAATATGAACTTTATTTGCAGATCCCTTCAGACCTGTTCTCTTGAAGGCTGCCCCTAATAGTTTTACTTCCACCAGACAGTGTTACAAGTAGGTCCAGCAAGCAGAGCTGAGGGCCACACAATTCAGTTCTTCAGTGGGGCTTGGACACCCCACTGGCTGCTATTTACCTGCACTGCTCTGCTAAGGAGACACTTTGGGATTACACTGCTCATAATGTATATTTTAATGTATAGTTTCACATACCAGACCTGCTCTCAAAAAATTACACCTACACCTCCATCTATACCTGCTCTCTAGGAGTTACTGATTCTGCTGTACCAAATAAATCTTGAGAAAAGAAGCTTCTAATATGGTAATGCTGGGGGAAAAAAAGCCCAAAACATTTTAATACCCAGTGAGTTCTCTGGCAAAGACAGTGTTATCGAATGGGTAGATTCAGCTGGGCTGCATGCCATCAGCACAATCCCAGATGCAGGGTCCCCGATGGCAGGAAGTTCACCAGAGCAAAGGCCATGCTGGAAAAGCCTTGGCCTCCAGCCAGCATAGTCCAAGATGAGAGAAACACTGAACAGGAAGGGGATGTGAAGAGACCATCCTCCAGCTTTTCTAGTTTGGTGCCTCTCCTGGATTTAATAATTTTACACAGTTTTGCCACCAGCTGAATTTTTTTTTCTTTCTAATCTTACCGTTGAAATGCTTGCAAATCCTGGATATCCAAACAACTAACCACAGCAAAGGACAGGAATAATCTAAGCAAACCAATACCTCCTTGCAGGCAACTTCCTAGGCTTCCAGCTGGGAAACCCAGGTGAAATTGTAGGAAATGACAGTTATTCATGTAGCCCTCATGGCTGTCATCTTCTGCTTGATAGAGCCCTGATAATGTGAATTTGGCCAAGGTCTTGAGTCATCCAAATGCAAGTCCGTGGTCAGTGCTGACCTGACGTAATTAATTTAAGATTTAATTAAAAGAATCATATGTTCACATTTATTTCAAGAAGGTATCAGCCTCCATCCTATAACCTTCTATGCTTCCCCTGGTTCAAGGCCACCACCCGAAACAACATATAAACTTTGCAAATGTGTGCTTGTGGGAAGTTATTTCTATAAAGTTCAAAGGAGTCTTACAAATGGTACAACTAAGAAAAACCCAGTTCACTTCTGTACCTTGTTGCTTTGTTGTCTCACAACCTGACAGGTAAACTTCAAAATACTTGTAAGTTTTAGTTACTTAAGTTTGTCAATAAACTTACATGACAGAACTCATAAGACTGAAGGAATGGCAAATATTCTCCAGGGTGTTTAACTGTGACAGTGTAGGAAGTTATCACAAATGGCACTGCAGTAGAAGTAACTGTACACAAAACAGACTTTGTGGACAAAACCACCTTCACTGCAAAGTTTAACAGCTCAACCTAAGCCTTTGTTTCAGTGTTATTCAACTTAAGCTTCACTTGTAGCAGACTGAAAAACAGGAGTTGGTAGAGCATATGAAATGCAACTGCAATAATGCCCACTCGGGCAGTAAAAACAGTTAAGGGAAACAAACCCTTAAACAATTCAGTTACATCTGCTAGAAGATGTCTCTCCATGTCTTACATTTCTAAGAGGATAGGAAATTTCTGAGATTTTATTCCAGCAAATCTAAGTCTACAGTCAGCAGGAGCTTGCCTGTTAAGGTCTCTGTATTTGACCCAATGCATCTTGCATATTTGCTTGTGATCCCGGACAGAACAGAAAAGATGAGCAAAAGTTAAAAATAGACCATCACAGATTTGCTACTAGAACTTTTATGAACTTTGTAGCTTGGCCAAAGACCAAGAAACTTTCGAGTTTTTTTTCTATACGCGTGCGTCCTGATCCCTTCTTGAGAAAGCATAGTTCTTTTTTTTTTTTTTAATTAATTTCTAGCATTTGTTAAAATGCCTCCTTATAGACTGGCAGATGAAAAGATCTCTTCTCCCATCTACCTATATTTGCACTAGAATCTTACAACTGACTTTGTCCAAGCCACACTTGCCCTTCCCAGCTTGAGGGTTCGAGTCCCACAGAATTATTTTTAACTGCTAATAATTGACTGTTACCTCTTTTCAGACCTTCTTCTTTGATTTGTTTCAAAGGGGAGGGACCAAACTCTTCTTCCACAGGCCGAAACATCCTTTTGACCAGGACACTGCTACTAGAATATACAAAACAAGGACTATGCCATAGTAAAACTGCTCACAGCAGAAGAGACAAGAGCAACAGGAACAACTCACTTTGTAGTCTGGCAGAAATACACACTATCTACTCAAGTAGCAGCAAAAGTGCAAGGATTTAGCTTTTGATGCTTATCTGAACTACCCAGGCCTCTTAAATTGCCGAGATTGACTGGCTGGGACAGATGACAGGAAAATATGTTCTGATGTTACAAACAAATTTGAAAATTAGGCCCTTAACTGTTTAAAAATTGAGGGAAAGGGGGTAGTTATTGCTTCATGCAATAAACCCCTTCGTTTCTCAAATTCCATTAGAAAATGTTATGAAGAACATTAGTTTCAATAAGAAATAAAAAGGGCCTCATGTTTTTAAGAAAATGTCAACTGCAGTTGAACAGCCACTCCCTACCACAGGTCACTTTTTGCAGTTTTATGGGACTGGAGTTATGTCACTCCAGAATCTCAGACTTGAGGGTGTTCACCTGGGGATTCAAGCAATTTACAAAAGTATGGGGCTGGCACACAATGTGGGCAGAAGTTCAGCCACCCATATTAAATCCTTATTTCATGTCATCTCTAGGTACTCCCATTTCCAACCTTCCTCCTTCCCTGGTTCTCTGTTTTCTTTCTGCCTTTCTCTTCTGGCTCATGGCCATTCTCTCTGCAGTTCCTGTATTTGTTGCATACACGTGTGTGCACTGCTAAACAGCTTTCAGGAATGCAGTGAAGTTCAATGCTTCAATAAAAAATTCCTGGTTTTTATATTATTTGGGAACCTTTATGCTTATGTAGATGGCACTTCACTGTCAAATATGTTGTCCTGTACCTGTATTGAACTTGGGACTCTTGGAAATGTATTAAACCACAGATATAAAAAGTAGACAGTTTACATGAGGGAGGGGAGAGAAAGGGCATCAGTTTTATCTGATTTCATATTTTGTATTGACTTTCTACAAATTCAAACTGTTAACTGCAAAGCTTGTGAAACAATAAATATCTTACCCTTCTCTCTCGTCATCTGTATTATAGTAAACCTAGAAGGATGGAAATAAAAATTAGTTATTCCCAAAACTCAGATACTTGCTTTAAAGAGAAACTTCAAAAGGGAGAAAAGACAACAAGTGTTCAGCAGTTTATGATATGTTTAAAATCCTTTTCCTCCTATAAAACACAAACACCTCTAGCTCTAACAGTTGCTGGAAGAAGTGTGGCTTACAGAAACTGCTGTTGAGTATTATCTAGTGGACATATATCAGAGTTTACTTGAGAGACACTACCCTCTTCCCTGGTTTATATAATTTTCCCAATTATTTTACAATACTCTAAATCAGATCACTACTCACCTAAATTACCACAATACAGTTTGAGACACAGCACTCACAAGCTTGTATGTATTTAATACTGTCTGAAAATCTAATTAAACTATAAATAACAAGATTAAACTACAAGCCTAATGGAAATACAATTACTAATGGGACAGCTAAACATTTTTTGCACAGGCTGTGGGCAGAAGCCCAAGTACAGTTTTGTGTAAATCCACATAGCTCAGAGTCATCGGGACCGAATTTACAACAGCAGCAAATGCAAGCTGACGGTAGCAGGGGAGGCATAAAATCACAGTCTGTTGTCCAACACTTCACAGCACAGTCAGGCAAACTCCTCACAACAAGTGCACCAGCCCTGCAGCTGCTGAGCTGTGGTGCAAGCGTGGGGTGCAGGCACAGAGCACACAGCCGCTCCTGCTGGGCAGGGCGAGCCACCACAGGCGGGTCTCCAGCACTGATGCTCACAAGGCTCGGAGCACACGTGGCTCTCACTGGGAGCCTTCACTTCTAAACAAAAGCAATGAAAGTAGCTCAGAGGTGTGTGTGTGCAAAGCTGAGGTCTGTAACTATGAGTACAGCAATAAAAGACATGGCTGAACACTGCCTAACAGCTAGGAAATGGGGATATCTTCCAGTTAGTTTAGAAAATTATTTACAGGATTATATATACTAAGGAATGCTTCCACTGTCTCCTGTTTTGAAACAAATCCACATTCTGGTTTGAAAGCCATGAGGACAGAAGGTACCCAACACTGATATGTGAGTGGGCGTCCTTCCAATTTGGGAGAGTAAGCCAGTAACAGCTGCGATTACAATGTCTGCGCTCTTTGTGCTTTGCTCAACCACAATTCTCACTGCTTCAAAGTAAGTGAAAATTCCAACACTCATTTTCATTTAATCTTTCTCATTTTACAATTTTTCAGCAAGATGCATATTAAATTTCCTCATCAAATATTTGTCTTTATAAACACATGCATAAAGGTCTAATTCTATTCCCTGAGATGTTAATAAATAATATGTTCATAGGAAAAAAGTCAGAGCTGACCCTCCAGTTCAGGTTTTCAACTTCCCAGCAGGCAATAAAGTAGAAAAGAGTCAAAAGAAAAGACTTCCTTATGTTCACTAGTGATAATAAGTTCCAATACTGAGTATTAATATTAGTATGATGGAGTTTTACTTGGAAGAGTGAAAACACTTTTTTCAAGGAATTTCCAGATCTCTAGGTGATGCCGACAGAAAATGGGTGGTGGTGTTCAGTGATCTGCTCCTGACCTTCCTACACGTGTAGGAGTTTGGGCTTTGTTTTCAGCTGTGACAGGGAGGGGGATCTCTGCTACCACAAGGTGGCACTTCATTTCACCAAGCCAAAGAGTGCACTAAAAAACAGATTGTGTTTCAGTCACAAATCAACCTTATATTTAAAAGCAAAAAAATGATAAAACTGTAACAAAAACCAAACTATTCTGTTGTCAAAGAAGTATAAACTCCTTCTTAGCACCCATAAATCAGAAAGGTACTTGTCTCTTGTAAAGTCTTCTATAAGTGATGTGCTAAAACTGTATTTACCAAAACAAATGAATAAATAAAATTGTAACAAGCAGCCCTCAGGAACAGTGATTTATTTCCCTAAAACCTGCCCCAGAGCAGAGGCAGACAGGTGGCAAGTGGGCACCTGCTCATGTCATTATTTCCTACCTGTCCAGTTCTTTGTAGGTTTCCAAAGTGAACATCCGGTATGAAGAGAACTGGCTGGGAATCCAGGTCAGCCATTGTTTTGAAGAAGGTGATATCACTCTTTTTCTGCAGAGGGAGTGCACTCAACTTCCCTTCAGCTGCTAGGTGGATCACAAAGCACAGGGTTATGAAAGGAGGCATGTTAAGCATGACTTAGCCCCAGACCAGGAAGGCCCACTTTACTCACCATTATTACATGAGGCTTGAGATGCCTGGCCTTTGCCTTTCTTCCTGTTCTGCTTTCTCTCTTCATCTCTGATTTTCCTTTCTGCTCCCTGATGTGAAAAAAGACAACCCACAGACATTACCCAAAGAGGAACCACTGAGAGCATTGTACTCTGCAATGTCTGGAACTACAGCAACAGACACACAGAAATGCTAAAAGAGAAACCAGTTATTTCATTGAAGACTGATCTGCCCAGACTGTTGGGAAGGTACCAAGCTTTGGATGCATCACCTGTGTCCAAGACTCAGCTGGCACATCCAGTAGCTCCCAGGGCTGCAGACAGCAAGGGGAACATATCCACATGTTGGTTTGGAGAAGCCAGGACAGGCAGTGTGCAGTCTGTAGGAGAACTGATACCAGCACAATTTTGCAAAGGGCATCCCAAGCCCGGTGTCTCTGCAATGAACAGAGAGCTCAGGCCAAATATTTTGTGTATGTAATGGCATAAAACACCTGCAGGAGTGCTATCATTTTATATAATGTCTGTGCTGAGGTCTTCCCTAAACTCTCTTCCACCCACTTTGTCTGGGGGTGGTGGCATTGCTCCACTGTAGCCAGCTGTGCAGAGCCTTTGAGAACTGACAGTCCAAAAAGGCTCTGCTGACAGCTTGCCAACATTGCAAGGGTTCTTACAGAAAGTACAGGCATTTCAAACCGGGAGAAGCTCTCCAGAAATAGGAAAACAATGTAGCACTGCCCTATTAGGCACCAGGAACTCCTGGGAAGTTGCAGGCTTCTCTTATGTAAATACACTCTCAACAAGTTTAAAAAATAAAACTTGTTACTGACATAAAAAGCAACAACACCTCCTTTGAAGTTCTCCTAATTTACTTTATAAATAATACCCATCACATTGTGAAGCGTAATGAAGATCCATATGCTCCCAGACAGTTGGCATGCAAGATTACAGAATTTTTTTCCAAATTAAAATTAGAAGTTTCTTGAATAGAAAGCAAGGGGAGGGAAGTAAGAAAAGCAAAAAATACCCACTCAAGATGGCAAAATTCACACATGAGTCAATGAAGCAAGTTTAAAAAGAATGCAAGGAAAGATGTACTCCTGGCTCTGATCTATCAGTAGATTTCCAGTGGCTGAAAGAGCTGGAGGAAGAAACAGCTCTTTAGGAAAACATGGGCGTGTCAAACAGAAATACTGTCTCCAGACCAGGTTCAGTCCAATCACCAACCTCAATCACAGAAGCAAAGGGATCCAGAGCCATGGACTTATCAAAATTGTATCTAGAGGTACAATTGTAACCTTTAAGGCCACCCCTTCTTTCTAAGAAAGGAGCAAAGATACATGTCACAGCCACTGTTCTGCAAAAGGCACGTCCTGAGAAACCTGCGCTGCACAAAGGGCTGTGCCAGGTGGCCACAGCCCTACCTGCCGCTTGGTGCTGCTGCTCTGCTGCTCACAGGGAACGGGATGTACCATCAAAGTATTTCATACACTGCACCAAGTGTGAGTTTCCTCTCAGGAAAGCAGAAACTGAGGAGGACTCAGCCTTTTATACATAATAAAAAATACACGTTTTACTGATTTTCTGTAACATTCTTTGTAACTGTGAACTTGGTGATACTTCACAGCTTTCTCTTCATTCGAGGCAACACACCCCAAGATCCCAAGCCACATGGCACATGGCAGGGGCCAGCCAAGCCTACAGGATGGACATCACCATCACAAGGATGAGACCACAAAATTATTTTTGCATCCTAGAGCATTTCTGCTGCACAGTTTTGACAGCTGAGCCATCTGACACATACCTAATGAACCACAGTTTGCACATCCCTTCAGGACAGAAGAATTAGCCCTCTTACAGGTGACTATAAACTATGCTGTGGTCAGTGAAATAATGAAATGAGTTCTTCATTTTTTCATTGATATCTGGGCTTTGAATAAATGCAAGGAGTACTTCTGCTACTAGTCATTAACAAAATGCAGCCTACAAATTGCAGGTGATCCAAAGTACTTTCTTCCTAATTCTTCAACTCATTTAAACTTAAATCTTGCATTCTAGCTCTAGCCTGACAAAGCCCTTGCCCTCATAAGGACCACTCCCATCACCACTCTGCTCTGATGCTCACGTGTACACTTGCTTCTAGCTCCAGACTAAGGCATTCCACATCTCATTGGGCAGGCACATAGACATCAGCCCTCTCTACAAAGCTGCAGATTAATAGGCCATTAGAGTTGCTCAATACTTTATGATAGTCCATTTTGTCTATGATGCTCCACACCAAAAACAAGGATGCAAGAACTGCATATATTCCAAAGAACATGTATTTTTTTCAGATTAAAGAAAACTGGATTAATTTATTTTATTTTGGATCAATGTTATGGTATTTGCCAAGTCAAGCTCTGCTTCTTTTCCACAAAGATAATCACATATAGAAAATCAAGTAGCTCTGAAGTCCCAGTTCTTTCATACACAGTGGCTAAAGCATCGTGCAATATATAAATATAAATAGGCCTGGTAGCAAGTTTCCCTGACAACCTACTTAAGGAATAAAAATTACAGATTCTTATAATGCAGCACCAGTGATCTGCACATGATAGGAAGACTGCAAGGGCAGAGAATTAGCACTGAGAAAACAAGATGTGGACTGTAACAAATGTTTTGAAGATCGCCTACTGAAAAACAAACATGGACAAAAGATTGGAGAACAAATAGGGAGTAAGGCAAAGTTAGGTTTGTTAAGTAACATTTACAGCTTTTGCAGCATTTATCTCCATACATTTACATTTGTATCACAAAACACATACTGGATGTGAGTTGATATTGCTCTCTAGTTTATATGTAAGCTAATATTAAAATCAAGAAATTACCAGAATAAGTACTAAAATATATATAATATGTACCACTTAGCTAAATACAGTTTTACTTCTTCAGAGATAACTTTTTCCACAACAGCTATGCTGTGTTGCAGCTACAAGACATTAATTTGTCAGTGAATGCTCTTAAAAACTAGACACCTCCACCTGTGATTTATCTAAGTGAATATACAAATACACCCACTGGTCCTAAAGAGGCATCACCATTGCAGAAAGAAACATTTGTAATAACACCTCAGGCAGAGAAACATTTTTTCTTCCATGTTCCAAAATGAAAAACATTTCATACTTAGGCAGGAGAAATTTACTCCACAGTTCCACTAGTCCATGTGATTGTAATAAATCAGGTACTTTTCTCATCAGCTTCTCTTTGAGGCTGTCAGATTGGGGTATAACAGTGCAGCTCACACTTTCAGAATTTATAAACATATATATATATATGTGTTAGATATTATATGTTTTTTGGGTTTTTTTTAATGTTCCTGTAGTACCTCTTTAATTTATGACAAGGAGGTAGGCATTAAATAACAGTCTCAGCTTTATGGCCTTCCTCAAAGATGCAGCAAGCTTTGTCCATGTCACTGGAGGCAGTCACAGGCTAGCAAGAGAAACTGAACCATTTATCACCACCTTAACCAGAACCAGGGGTTTATTTTGACATCTTGGAAAGATGAGGATACCCAGCCACACCAGCTACCTTCCTCTGAGCGTGACGAATTCTCCCAGTGCCACCAGCAAGTACAAATTCTCCAAACATTTATTTACTTACAAAATCCCTGTGACAAAGGGATGTTGGTAAAGATTTGGCAGTGTAAGTCTGGGGAGAAGCAAGAATTCGTCTCTTACCAAGTGCCAATTAGCACAAACTGTCATGTGAATTGACCTCAATAATTTTCATTCGCTCAAGTCATTTTCACACCCGCGTTAACTTAAAAAGCTCTACATGTGTGTATACACTTACATTAAACAGATAGATAACCTATTACCAATACCCTTGAACCCTTCAGTTCCCACTTCCAATACATTTTTGATGTGTATAACACTCTAACTACCCCTGTGATCTTTCCTTCTACTTTGAGACAGTTTTGATTAATAGACTCAACACTCATTTCCTGCTTTCTAGTCTGGATATTTGAAGCTCCAATTAAGCCAACAGATGCAATGAACATGTATTATTCAAAATCTCCACCAGTTGTACCTAGAGGTCACCCTTGATGAGTTTGTGCTCTGAATTTCCTTCCTTTTTTTTAAATAATTCAATTTTTTCTAATTGCTCTTCAGAAACAGGTAGATGAAAATGACTTGTTACTTTGATAGTCACTGAGCTTTTAACATCCAGCTGTGGCTTCAAATCTCTGAATATTTGACATTCAAAGTTACAATTATAAGCACAGCATTTTGGCTGCAAGAAGACCTCAGTGCATACATTTACATTCATTACTTCCAAAGATTTTCCTCCACTAACACAACTGACTGATTAGTCCTCAAGATCTCGTTGTCAAGACAGCAACAAGGGAATGAACTGAAAAGGGGGAAAGAGCTGCAGCACAGAGACCTGAAACAGTTGAACTCTTACCCTTTCCATTAAAAAGTTAATGTTACCTTTTGCCTGGGGCATGGCCTTTCTGTCTTTCTATTCCCACCTGTAGGATGGCACGACTAATTTGGATAAATTTCCAAGTCACTTAAGTAGATGTAGGCTCCTGAATCCCTGAACCTTGACTAGAATCCAGGCATCAGCTCCCCTATGAAAGATCTTTCTCAGCATGGATAAAGTCATCAGCTGGCAGATGCTAAATGAACTGAAAAGTGATCACACTCTCTTTGAAGAATCATCACTGACATTTCTGAGCAACTGTTTCTACCTGGTGATATACAGCTGACCATGACACTGTCTAATTCATTCAGATGTGATCTGTGTCTGGGTACAGAAACATCTTACTAGTTTTCATACAGGAGAAGTCATACCTACAGCAAAAAACCAAAATTTTGCTAAAGAGGGTGTGAACACACACAAAAACCAGTTACTGAATTACAAAATGGGAATGGCTAATGTATTTTTATATTTTACTTTTGATAAGAAAATCCTAGCAGCATAAGAGCTTCTAAAACCACTGTTTGTAAGCAAAGCAGGGGGAAAACCCATTAGCTGTGTCACTGGAATTTGCTGTTTTCCACTGCATTATAAAAGGGAGCTTAGCATATCCTCACTGAAAAATGCATTTTTCTTTCAGAGAAACTGACATGAAGTTTAGCTGCTACCTATTCTGGCTGTAAGAGTTAGAAGGGATGATATCAGCAGACTGCCATTATTATTTATGTGACCCTGTGATCAGCACTGGCCTTCCAAAGAGAGATCTTTGCATTTGCACTTTCTATTACTTTTTTGGTATTCCAGAATCATGACCTATAATATGCTGTCCTGAAATAGTCCAAGTATTGCTCACAAGCTGAGGAATCAGGGCCAAAAAGACTGAAAAGCAGTAAAAGAATGACATGATAATCAGTTGATTTGTGATGCAGCTTGTCCAAATGTTATGATGAAATACAATTCTTCAAGGAAAGAAACAACTTTTAATTAGGTCTAAAATACAGCAACAATAAACTGCCTAACAAGATTCCTCCTTCATCCATGGTAATTGTGCTTTCCACTTACCTTGTCACAAAAAACCTTGATCTGGCAGTAGGCTCGGTGGATAGGTTTATTGCTGCGGTTGTTGTAGCTGTAAGTATCGATCTGAATCATCAAAGGAAGCCCTTTTACTCCTTTTTGTGAGGAGAAGTCTGTGCTCAAGCAATTCACTGTGATGAAAATCTGTGTGCCAGAGAGATTACTTTTTAAAATGTGGTGCAAATAATTAAACTTCTGGAAATACACGACAAGAAATGGGAAAGTAAAAATGTTTTAATTCAGCAATGATGCATGCTCTGGCAATTCACACATGTATCCTCCACTTCTATCCAGCAAAGACTCCCATGCTGGGAAGAAGGACAAACTTGAAAGCCATATATTGGTGCTTCAGTTTGGATCAGAAGCTCACATTTGAGGTGAATCATTTGGCCGTCCCAACTTACCGTGCTTTGGTTCACACCAGAGCTCAGAATACATTAATTGGATTCTTTTTAGAAGAGCCAGACCAGAAAGATATGTTCTAGGAGCACTCCCTCAGATCCTCCAGCTGTTCATAGTTGCTTAGTTCATGGGAACTGACTAAAGATAATCTAAGATAAAACCTCCTGAAATGTGCCTCATGTGGATGTCAGGTCTTCAGTCCTTACCTGTTCCACTATACAAACCTGCTCTGTACATTTGCCCTATTTGTTAATACAGATCATTTTGCTTCATCCTTTCCAGCTGCCTTAGGAATGACTTGCTCATCTGACAGCTCATTCAAATTCAGTGGGACAAAGATAAACTCTTTTTTTTATTTTGCAAATTTTCTTCACACTGTCATCAACACTACTGCTTTCTTCATCCCATCAATAGATACTCCTGTGTTTCACTTTAAGGGCCCTTCACTGTCTTTCCTCAGTTTTAAAGATGCATCTCACCCTGTCTTCCATACTGGGAAGGAATTTTTCAAATATTCATGAAACCACTACAAGTAGTTTTACACTACTCCCTACCTCTTCTCACAAGTTCTCTTTGTTATACAACACCCACATAACCCGACATGGCATTTCAGGGAATCACAGAATTGTCTGAGCTGGAAGGGACTCAGAAGCACCCTTGGCACTATATATAGCATCATGCTTTAACCAACTGAGCTAGCAAGTCCCATGCTTGCCTGTGCTTCAGAAATCTATCTCTTGCTCTCCTTCTACAACAAAAACTTACAACTTGATAGCTTCTAATCATCTCCCTCTTTTTAACTCAATTGGCACCATGGGACAAGGTGTGTCTCATCTGTACAGGACCTGGGAGAAGGGTCTCCCACCACCAAAGTCTCCCAGGGACTATTCTGATGTAAAGCAAGCACTATGAATTGAAATACCTCTGATAGCTTTCACACACAGGATGGTGTGCATAAAACTCAAGACATGAAACTAGATTAAAAATCTATTTTTCAGCCCAGTGAGGAATATGTGCATTACATAATAATTGGGGGCAATTGTGTATTAACCTGATTCTACTTTTCACCTGCCCTTAGTTTAAAAAGCAACAACAAAGCACCAAACAAAACACCCCAAAAGTGTGAGCCAAGGAAAAGGACTGAGAAAACCGGCAGTACATATCTCCCAAATCAGGAGGATGCAAAACCTGCCCCAGAAGACTGAGGATGCTCAGGAATGAAGAGATCTCAAATTGGTCTCTCAAACAGACCTGATGCACACCTAACCAGGCAGAGGAGAAGGCAGCAGGCCCCTGGGGTCTGGGAGGATTCCTGAAGGAAGAGCATGAAGGACATCCCCCCTCCTCCCTGTCAATTTCACAAACAAGGAAAATAAACCAACAGTGTAAGTAACAAAATGCAACATCCCTAAGAAAGACAGCTGAGAATAAAGAAGGGCTCCAGCAGGGCTGGTGGGGGATACTTTACCCTCCTGGCAGAAGTTAACATTACAGTCAGGGTCTTTATGATGGAGCCAGAGCAGCTTGTTTGCCTGACTGAGCTAATGGCCCCTCCTTTCTGCTTCTGATTGTATCACAGAGCCACATTTACAAATGAAATAGTTGAACTTTAACTGCTGAGAGAAGAGGGAGGCAGGGAAAGGCCCTAGGTGAAACTCTGATTTTGAAGCTGATAGTGTTATTTCTGTTTCAAATTACAAGCTGATCTCCTACAGCTCCAAAGGTAAGTGTAGACACAGCAAGTACGCCTTTGAAATATGACAGGCTGAATTTTCATTTGCCTTCAGAATCATTTATAGTGTCAGGGCAATGGTTTAAAGTGTGTGTGAACACACAGCAGTGGAAAAAAGTCTAGCATAAAACAGAATCTGGTCTCCCTATATTTTAGCCCATACTTTTGCACAGGGGCTTTCTGAAATGTACGTACAAATGTGAGAAGACAAGCAGACTTTGCATCTACCTAGCAGTTTGTACATCTCCCAACCTTGCTGCACACTCAGCTGAGAGGCAAAAAAACCTCTTGTCCCACCTTAATCAACTACATACACCGTGTCATCTCTTTCACTGCCTCCACAATCACAGAGCAGAGTAGGAGTGGCTGGGGAAGACAGACTTTATGGTTTCAAGAGTCCCCATACAGCAATAACAGATTATTCAGCATGAATAATAGATGGATGCTCAAAGACTCAATATCTTGTCCTGACACTGTAATACATCAGGATCTCTCTGAGGAGCAATGATTGTACATTCATGCACATGAAGTGTACTACACTTTCTGTCATATCATTTGCACCTCACAGATAGACAGATGGATTTGAATTAACACAGATTACTCATACTGGGGAAATTTTCTGTCTCCATGCAATGTTCTATTAGCTTTCCTGTAAAGCACCACACTGACTTTGGATTTGGAAAACATGGGGGTGTGTAGAGGGAAAGAGAAGAAGACATAGGTTCTGTTATTTATTTTAGGGTATTTTTTTTCTTTGCATGACTAAAGATTTGCACCAGTGAGCAGGCTGCTATGGTGGAGAGGACCTGGAGAAACATCTGGACAGTCCCCTTCTCTCTCTCCAGGTCTGACCAGAAACCACCTCTCCAAAGCAGTGACCTCCTAGGAGCAGCACTGATTTCAGTCATTTGTCCAAGTCAAAAAGCAGTCATTTGCCTGCTCTGCCCTTTGCAGGGTCCTTTGCTTCCCCCACTTCCCAGCTCCTGTCCATAATGCATGTACTCCCATTCTCAATGAGACAAGGGGCAAAACAATTCCATGGGCAGCCATGAAAAGGAGTGCTGCTCTACTTTTCTTCGAAGATACCCACATTTAAGATCTCCTTTGCTGTGGTCTTTTGCATTGTAGAATTAACATGTAAAAATGTAAAGTTAAGTAGAAATGACAGTAGCAGGAAAATCACTGTTTCCCTCCCAAGCCCTGTCTACACTTGTCTTACAACTATATTAACAAAAGTGACTATGATTGTATCCAAATTCAGATAAAAGTGTTTTTTTGTTGTTTCCCCCCTCCACCCCCAAGTGAAAACTGGATTTTAGCAATGGTTTGCAATCTGGAACACATTGTATAATTGTCATTATAGTGATGTCTTTTTTTTTTTTAATGTCAGCATATCTTAGATTTGAGCAATTAATGGCAGAGTTCCACCCATCTAGTCTCCAGCTCAGGCGTGCCATTGGCAATTAAATACTAATTTGGAGAAACATTTAGTGCTGAGAAAGTTTCATAAGTGGCCTAATATAATGACAACTCTTCTGTTTGTTATAGAGCATGTCTAGAAAAAGCACTCTGTGTTTTGGAGATGACACTCCTCTATGCTGCTATTATGAGAATTACTGTTTATTAAATACTGCAGCATAATTAGGGATATACAAGACACAAACACAGTAAGTTGCCTTAAGAGAAAGAAAGGCTCAGAAATGCATTTCCCTTTTTATCATTTAATTCAGCCAACACGACTCTTGCTGTGGTCTCTCAGCTCATACACTAAAGGTCTCCAGTTACGAAACTTCTAACATAAGCCATTTATTACTATTTACATTTCTGGCTCTCATTGTCTCAGAAACTGCCAAGGGCAGAAGGGAGGGAAGAGTGTGTTATGGCACAAAATAAGAAACTTAGAGCAATTTCTCTATAGAGCAATTTCTCTACCGAATGCTGGCAATACATAGAACCCGGGCGATGGGTCTCTTAAAAGCCTGCTTTAAAAGGTTCCTCCCTCCAGACCCCCTCCAGACAGCAACAACAAAGAGTTAAATGACTCGTCTCTCAAATGACTAACATCAATCCCATCATCCCTCATATACACAGAAAGTGTGGGTTTATAGTTTCTCCTACCAGCCGTTACCTTATAAATCCCACACAAAGGTAAGACCTTTGTTTTATTTCAATACAAATGTCTCCAGCAAATGTTTACACTACTCTTTTGAAGCTTCCTCAACCCACACCACACCCCGGCAACTACATAAAAATGCCATTTGCTTTGAATCCCAGATGCATACTTACCAAATCATTTGTATACACTGAGTTTCAACATTATATGCTACGACAGGTTAACTCTTCTCTAATATATACACGTGTGTCTGCATGTCTCACATCTATATATACACTCATATATATGTGCACACTTGCACACACAGACATGGTTTATTAAAGTAGCTGCCAAGTCTAATACTACATAATTTCTGCTATTAACTCCCCAAAATGAAGCATCTTTTCCTTCAACCTTTAAATTTTTTAGAGATGTTAATTTCCTTCCAAATTAAATTAAATTTGATGTAACTTGAGAAGGAAATTCATGATTAAGAAAAAAAAAATTATTCTAGTCAAAGCCTGTCCTATGTATCACTAACATTGTTCAAGAAATATGGATTGTCATAATACAAATTGCTACTAGAGATAGTGCTGGTCTATAAGCTTGATTTTACCATTGTATCCACTGGAATTGGAGCTTACTTTGGTCCACAATATCCAAGAACCTAATCCTGCAGATCACTCGCTCTTTGAAAACAGCTTATTGCTGTATGAGCTATGCCAAAACTCATTAAATAACTGGAAAGGTTCCCAGAGGCTTCAGCATACTTTGGATTAAAGATCTACATTTTGGTTAAATAAAGCAGGACAATGACTGCACGCAAGTACACACAACAACTGCTCAGCACACAAGTCCTGCACTCATCTGCCAGCACCTGCCTGAGTAACACAGCCACAAACATGTCTGTTTACTGAATGTCCAAGCTGCAGTGCTTAGCAGAAATCTGTAATCTCTTGATATCACTGAACACTTTTTGTCCTTTAAGGTGACTTTGTTTGTTAGCAATTGTTCATTGAAATCATATATTTGATTTTTAGGTTAAAAAGTACTTTCCATAGAAATATACAATTAGTTGTTTCAGAAGTAACACTATCATAGGCAATTTAAATGCACCAGGTACCTATCAGAGAGAAAACATACTTCAAGGAGCCGGTATGATTGATGACAAATATAATATCCTTTGACCAAGAGAACTATGCCTCTTTAATCATCTTTCTTGCAAACTAACTTCTGTCAGTGCTAACTCTGCAAGCAGACAGATGAATGTCTATCAGAAATGAAGCTGAGCTTTGTTCTAGAGCCTCCACTACAACTTTGTCAACTGGTCAGATGCGGCAGCAAAATCTTCTGGAGGGCAGCAGCAAGGAAACTACATAGCTTCTAGCATATTATAAAGACACTTTTTTAAAAGACAGGTAAAAAGTCAGCTAGTTCTTGTTAATTGTTGTTTGTTTTCTCATCTTTTTTTAAAAGAACTCCTTTAAAAATACCAAACATAGCATTTGGGTTCAACCAAAGGGAGACAACAAATCACCTTACCCATAAATGCTTCATATTTATAACAGAATTAAATATAGGAGGGAAACAAAGATGGATTGTACAAACTGTTTTTCTCTTCTTACCCCTGCTCCCTTACAGCAGTATTTTATCTTAAGAAAGCAACGAGTTTGACATGGCTATAGAGACTTCCCCTCATTTCCCTGGATCCTGCTCTGAACCACAAGCCCCACAAGTGACCTCTAGATAACAGCCCCAGCAGAAAAGGATGTTGTTCTAGAAAATGGTAAGGATGTGCCAGGACTAACTCTGCTCTGCCAGAAGGCAAGGGGACTGCTGCTGTCAACCAGGCACAGCAGAGAAAACACTAGCAGCGTGGTGTTTCTGACTTTGGTGCTGTTTCCTTAGTCCACAGAAAGCAATAGTGTGATTATTCCACATCTCAACATGCACTGTACCTGATTTGTTCTGCCAAGCAGCAGTTGGAAGATGATGCACCAAGCACGGTGAACTGGAGCCAACAGCCCGGTTCCACTGACATTACTGGGACAACAGAGAGAGACCTCTGCCTGTACCCTCTGGATTCCTGTTTATTCCACTAAGACCCACAAGAAATGCTTACCAACCCTTATCATCAGGCTTACTGTAGCTGGCAGATCCTGGCTGCCACACCCCTTCTCCTATACCCTCATCCTAAAGGGCTTCAAGGGGAAGGCCTGCTCTGCCTTTGTGTGAGGAAAAGTCTGACTTCAAATGAGAAGAAATATGGCTTTAAATTAGCTGCCATCCAGGTGGAGTAGGAAAGTGAGAAAGCTGATGCTCAGGATAGGTCTTCTAAATGTGGGATTTAGTTTCCCAGGAGAGAGAGGTATATTTGGTAAGGTGACTTCTACTGCTTCTGTTTGATTTTCCACATCACTCCACAGTGCACTTGGAGCAAGAAGTTTGTTTTCTTTGCTTCTTCCAGGGCCACTAGAGTGCTTCATCACATCCCATTTCAGAGGCCCTGAAAAGAACTGTTGTGTGCCACTTCTGTCTGACTTGGAGGAAAAAAAAGCTTTTGTGCCTCTGAGGGGGTTAAGTTTTAATCTTGAAATTGTGGTGAAAATAGAAAACAATACTGAGCAGAAACAATGGAGCCAGTTGAAAGATCATCATTCAAAAAGCTTAGGAAAAGGGAGTCTGTAATTATGCCTTGAAATTCTTCATCTCCCATGGATGAGGTAATTGCTGGAGAATAAACAGCCTCCAGTGACATGCCTCAGAACCCACAGCTTTCCAACACCGCAGGGGCATCCTATGGGAATCCCCAGATCCAGTGCAACCAGTTACTGTATTACACTTTCCAACAGGAGCAAGCATGTACACATACATGTGTGTGGGGAGGGAAACACTTTAGTGCAGACAAGGTGATGAGCTGTCACGTGCAATCAGATTTACACTTGATAGCCAAACACTAAAGCATGTTATGAATCCTCTTTTATCAATCCATTTTCAAGCTCCTAAGAGATGAGATATTTAATACCCCCAAATAAATATGCATAAGCTAATTTGCAATTTAATAACCATTTCCTGAAGAAATACAAGCAACTTAAATTTCACTCCTTCACTTTTTTAACCCAGTAAGAGTCTTTATTTTAAAATCTTAGCTTGTTTTATTTCCAGTGATCATTGCAAAAGTTGTATTCTTAATGTTCTGGCACCCAAGGCAAGAGCCAGGTGAATGGTGTGAGCTTGAAACAAAATGTCTGAGGTTAATACTTGACATTAGTGGATATGACTTCCTTGTTCCTAGATCAACATGGGTGTCTTGCTAAGTCTGGCTTGGAGCTGCAAATGCAAATGTCTTAGAGAACTGCCAGCCCTAGAACAAGACTGCCATATTCTAGCTCTGGTAGTGATTCTTTAAAGGTCCTTAAGACTGCTGTGTTGGTATTTGCTTGCACAGTGATCACACACACACAACAGTCACCTGTTGTGACTGCAGAGGACAATCTACAGCTGTATTTTGAAATGGAAACACATAATAGGGAAATATCTGGGGCGGTGAAAATGTAATCACTACATGAGTAAATACAGCACCATTAGCAACTGGACTAAGTACAACTCTGTTTACAAAGGCCTGCTTTTGAAAGAGCTGGGCGATTTTTAGAACTACTGTCTACTATTTCTTTTAAGATGTTCATGAGAGATGAAAATCCCTGCTACTATAAACAGTCAGTTTCAGTCAGTGAGTCAGGACAGTGAGTGTTAATGCTACCACTCAGTATTCAATACAAGTTCTCAGAGGACTCAGTCTGAGGATGCAATCTCCCTAATGCTGCTAGAAATGCAGTGGGCAATTGTGCATGAAGATGTCTTTGTATTTGTAAGATTCATAGCTTTACTTGAACATTGGACATTTTGTATTCAACATGAAAACAGTATCAGGAGTTTGCTGAGCTTAGTGCTTGCTGTTTATTAACTCTACATCCCCAAGAGTACTGCATTACCCCCACTCATTCATTTTACACAGCCTATTTCCCTTGTTGTTTGCTTTCCGGGGGGCCAACTTCTTCTTATAATTACCGGCAGTTTTTCATTTCTCCCACACTAGTCCATGCAGCTGAAGCACTCCAACAGCCTTTGTACAACCTTATCTGAAAGAAACTAGTTAAGGTGTTCTGATGTTCTGGTTTATAGGTCCACTTAACAGTCACATTCCTGAATGAAAAAACCCATGCCTGAGGGTACTTGACCATTAAAAAAAAAAAAAAAAAAAAAAAAAGCCCCAGACCTCAAAAATAAGTTCATTCCCAATTGCAAAGACAGTCTGTGTAACAATATAAAAAATAATGGCACCAACACCACAAGGGATGGCATAGTCTAATTTACAGAATATTGATTATTGGAGATGTTTATAGTGTAGAAAGAAAGTTGATAACTTAGAGAAAGAAAACACTCAGCTTGTGTCTTACACCTGGCTTTGCAAATAGGAAAAAATCTGTTACTGTTTTTCAGGCTGGGCACCTACCAACAAGCCCTCTTATTTGTCAGAAAGAAGTGGAACAGTGCCTAACAATGGATGGTACTTATAAAGGAATGCCAAGCTTTTTCTCACCTTTGCCTCCTCATTGACATCCCAGGTAAAGGACACAGCATTGAATGCAATTTCTTCAATATTCCCAATGGTATTAAAACTTTCCTTGTAATCAGCTGTAAGATAAAAAACAAGAGTCATGGAAAAAATTGAACTTTGTTTTACAACTCATAGTACTACTTTGCTTCTTAAGCTGGGTTGTCTAGTGCATCAAAACTACCTCTTGTATTGTTTATGATTAATTATGAATAATCTTAATTGCAAAGAGGCAATATAATGCAACCTGAGTCTTATTCATAGTATATCACTAGATAATGTTCTTGCAAAATATTGTAGGCTCTCAAAAAGGAATAAGTGTGACTCTATTGGCAATAAGTCAGTGCGTTCATTAGCTTGGCCAAGGAATGGCCAAAACTGGAAAATTACCTGAAAACTACTGAAGCATTTAAATGGATTGTTCAAACCTTGATATTAAGAAAAAATATGGTTAATCCTAAAGCAGCTTTCTAAAAGTCTAAGAGCTATGACTGGGGGAAATCATCAATGTGCATTTCAACTTTCCCAGGAATTACTGCACTGGATTAATATTTATATAATATTTAAAACAAAATCAAAACCCACCACACCCACAAAAAATCTAAACCAACAAAATATCCCCCACAAAGATCCTTTTTCCAAAGTATGTACACTACTAAAACAGAAAACAAACAAAATATATTTTTAATTTGTTTGGCTACAGACAACTCCCAAGTCTTATAATTTAAAATAGGAACAAGCACTGCTTTTCTCTCACATTGCTGGACAGTTTAACACATTTTCTGCTTTTTGATGGCAGATTAAGAGAGATACCAGGTCATATCTGCTTGATTAAAGGAACTTCCAGATCTTTCACACTAATGGAATAACTCTCTCTGGGACAAACATTTCCTAAGAATCCCTCGAGGGCTGTAATTGGACTCAGTGCCAGAGGGCTGAGATTACACTCCTGATCTAAAGTTTGCCCAAATCGCTGCTTCAGAAGCATGCTGATTCTTAGCTGTGTAATCAATTTTAGAAAGAGGATGTTTTTGTATTGTGGTATGAAACCATTGGTAAATGGTTTCATTATTCATTCCCTTTGTCTAAACTGTTGGTCTCTAAAAAATAATTTCTAAGTAATAACTACTTTAAAATTATTTATAACAAAAGCCATTGCTACAAGAAGAATGATTTGAGACAGGAAATCAGCATACTTTTCTCTCATTTGAAACACAAGAACTCTGGCACCTCACTGGGCAAATAAAATTGTGTCGCTGGGACACATGAATGATTTTGGTAACAGTAAAAAATTCACTGTTCAAACTATAGGAATAGCATGAGATATTTGATGATGCAGCAAATTAACAAAATGTTTGAGAGGACAGGCAGGCTTTTCATCCCCACCTTGAACTCAGATCTCCTTTCTACTAAAGTCATTGGCTTCACTATCTAAATTCAGTGTGGGGATGCAAGTGAGAGGACTTAGAAGACACATAAGTAGTTTAATATGCATGTGCACACATCCACCCACCTCTTAAATTTATGATTCACCAGAAAGTGCCTCGTGCAACTGACTGCTGCATATGGGCGAGCTGTGTAGGTGCACATTGGAAAGACATGAACAAGATGTCTCTTAAAGACACATGTTTTCTTGTCTTAAAAGGCTATCAGAACCTCACATCCCATCAACCCTCCCCTTCTCTCAACACATGCCTCCCCTTCTCTCAACACATGCCTCCCCTTTAATTGCTATACACAAATCTCATGGAGTGTCTATGTGACACTGCTAAAAAGCAGAAGAGCATCCTATTCCCCTCAATTTATGGGCAATTAAAGAAGGATCCTCAGTTGACTAAGAAAGAATTTACACCTCAGAATATTTGAAAGCTGTTAAGAGTGACTACAACTTTTCCTCTTCTACTGCTTTGAGTTACCAGAAAATCAGGGTTGTTGAATATGCAAAAAATGCCTCACAGGAATTATTTCTTCCTTTGTTACATAAATTGCATATTAAACAATGACAAATTTTTAAAGTTAAAACATTACTGATTCATTACATGTCATTGCCTACTTTTGTATTATGCACATAAATAATACAAACTATCCTGAAAAAAAAAACAAGGGCAAGTTTCTTTGGACACAAAACTTCCACACACACTCCTCATATTTGAACCCATTCCAGTATGTCAAATTACTGTACTTGTTCTAAATAATCAATATCCACTGCAATTAAGTATTGTATTATTTATTTGACATTATTTAAAAATAAAAAGCTAGTGATGCAAAGTCACAGCACTGTGAAAATACAGCTGTTTTCCCCCTGCTGCCCTTATTCCTCCTAAAAAAAAAAAGTAAACATGCACCTTACTCCTTCAGAAAAATCCATTACAGTGCATAGCCTAAATTTTGGAAAATATCTTGCCTTCTTCCTTAATAAGTGTCAAGCCCTCAGGTTTATTCCTCAAGCACTAAGGACTTGAATATATGTAAGTACCTGCTTATCTTATTAATATCAATGCTTCTTAAGCCCTGTCACTGCACCTAATCCATTGAATCATCCTTTCCCCCAGAAGGTGCACCAAGCCAGTACACAAAACAAATTAAAGCAGTGGCCCCTGTGTGTCTGGAGTGAAGGAGCAAGCCATTATTTCCTCTGATGTCCAGAATATAACTGCAGGCCATAAAGCAGACAGACAGATCCCTGCCACTATGGAAAGCAGCACAAGCATATTCTCCCTGCCTGCCTGAGATCTGAACAGCTGGAACCCAGAACTAGAGCATCCCAAATCAATTTGATCCTCTGCCTGCTAAGGACCATATCATGCTCTACATTAAAAGTGCATTCATAAACAATTAAAAAGGATTCACAGAAGTTAAGCATGCTACAAACATCAAATTAAACTAAGAGAAACATCTATGGAACAGGTGATGCAGAGTTATGGACACTTAATTTTCTTTGTTAACTATACAGGGCCTGGACATTAACTCAGTATTTAGAGGATCCCTTCAGGGATCTGAATTTTTAATGTAAAGGGAAATCTTCATAGAGCCATTTGATATAATTTTGCATGGAAGGGACCCCTGGAGGTTATCTGGTTCAAGCAGGGCCAACTTCAAATCTGGATTAAGTTGCTCAGTAAAATCATTTGATGATAAAGCTAGAAGATTTTACTAAATGCAGCTTGATACTTGCATGGGAAAAATAATTGGGAGCCATTCTGGCCTAATAAACCAGTTAGCCATAATGCAAGTGCCAGAGAAAATGAAATGTATTTCAGGAATACCATACTTATAAGAGCTAAGGCTATATTTCAGTTGTTCACAAGAAAACACTACTGAGCAACATTTAGGTCTTTTTTTTCTGAAAACTGAGCTGAACCATGTTCTTACAGCTCTTATATCTGACAAGAAGGGCTATATCAGTAAGTCTTACTACACTGTGCTTTGCTCATGTTTGCAGTCCAAATAAAGAATATGCGCCAGAGTGCTTCAAAAGTCAGAGCAGAGCAATTTCACCTCAAACTAATGGAAAATTAAAAGACATTCACTTTAACAAAGGTAAACACACAGCTCATGCACAGTACTTACTTTGCAAAGCACTATTTTACAGAATATGTATCATAAGTTAACTTGCTGGAGTAAGGCAACTGAAAAACTTGTGCCAGGACACAAGTGCAGTGAAGTCAGAGGGTGTTGGCACTACAGTGGAGAGAGCTGCTCAGCACATACTTTTCAAAGGTATGATCATTACCACCACAAGCTTGTAGGGACTAGCACAAAAAACCAGGCAGCCTTCAGAAAGAGCTGTGACGTGGCCTATTTCTTCTTTTAATGTGTCATGATAAAAGTCATTTGGTCTGGGGTTGCGGCTTTACTGCATTAGATACCCCAACAGGCAAGAAGAGAAAATGGGGGAAAGGGAGGAAAGAAAGAAGTTAATGAAATAATTCAGCCAGAATAATGATAAGACAAGAGGTAGAGAGGAAATTCTGTAAGAGCTGCCTGGACAAAACACACTTGACCTTAAATAACACCAGGTCTCAGTGGAAACTGCAGCATTTGAAAATCTACAGGCACTGAAGTGAGGGGACAGTTTCTCTGATGACCCAGTTCAATTGCCCCCTGAAGTCTCCAAATGTTCTCTTCAAGTAACCCTGCTTTGGTTTAGCCCCCCTCTCTGCCCCCTCTCATTCCTGCCATTCAATGGTTTGGTTCCCTCAGGCGGTCAAAACAAGATAGAGTTTGTCTGCTTTGGTCTTGCCGACTCCTTTGACTGGAATCCGTGCAGATGGCTGCATGTGTAAACTGCACGTGGGAGGGGAGAAGCGCTTGATGTCTAGACACTGCCACTGACAACTTCAGGCTCCTTGGCAGCAAGTACGTGCTCTTCCCCTGCTAAAATCTCCCAAGCATGTGGATAGGACAGCTGAGGCTAAAATGGGCTTGTAAATACTTTAGATGGGATGAATGGTAAACAGGTCTCTCAGGATAGCACACCAAAGCTTGCTTCTCCCTCACTGCTGACACCGACAAGACTCAAACTCTATGGGTGTAGGAATCCTGCACACTCCTTCGCAGTCACCGCAATGATGACATCTGCACTCTCAGGCTGCAATTCCACATCAATTAGCTAGCATAACTGTTGCTGGATCAAAGATGAGATCACCCTTTGAAAAAATAAAAGGAACAGATACTCTGCCATACCTGAGGAGGTGCAGACCTTGATTTTCCAGCTGCAGAAGGTGGTACCCCACTAAACACACATGCAAGGGGCAGCTCTTCTGTGTAAATATCAAAAACCATTCCTTCTGCATGGTCCCTATCCAGCTCCACAGACCCCATAGTCCTAGCAGAAATGAGCCATTGCTAAAAACTGTGGTACAAGCCACAAAGCCATTGCCAAGATATTCCACCATATTCCTGCGCAAGGCACCAGAGCTTTCTACATCTGAAATCCTCCCTGAAACATCTGCAGATCTTATACTCACCAATGTCAAGGACTCTCTGTTTAGCTGTGTGCTGCCGGGAATGCCAGTACTTCCAATATTTCAGCTGTTCATCTCTGTTTTTATCCTCACTGAAAACAACCATGACCACACTCTATGAAAAACAACACCAGAGTCAAATTAGTTAAGATAATTAATACTCAGGAAGACAAGATTTCCATATGCCTCTAATTCCAATCCAGCCACCACCCTCTCCCCGTAGTTTGGTTGTAGAAGATTGAGTTTTAATCAGTCCAATATTACAATGTACTTAACAACTCAGGACAGAAGAAATGTAGTTGTAAAATAATGCAAGGCACAGGATTATGTTCTTGATACTCCAAATAAAACTTTATCATATTCTTAGTTTTAAAAAGCTTTACTGGCTAAATGTAAGGTATTTTCAATTTAGTACACACAGTACAAATACCCTTTTTGGGAGCAGAACTCTTGCATATATATGTTTAATGACAAATTCAGTGTAACTATTTACTAAATTTTGCTGAGGTTTCCAATTCATGTTCTGAATTTGCTCTGTTAAACTGTGATTCAAAGGAAACAGATTGAATTTTTATGCAAAATTTTACACAAGCAATATAGGCTTTTTGAAAAAGCCCTGCAGCAGGCAAGCAAAACAACACAAAACAATGAAAGAATGATCATACAAATTAAAATTAAGTGAAAATAAATCACAGAGAACAAAAACTTCACTTTTAAATATCCTGTTTTACTTTCACCTTGAGACACTAAGCACAAAAAAAAAATCACTATCAAGCTGCTTTATAAGCCGAGGAGGTGTATCACAATTGATTCATCATCTGTGTCCCCCCCAGACAGCCACTACCATAACTCTTCATGTACTCTGTGACCTTCTGCATTCCACCAATAAAAGCTGAACACTATCACCACATCTTCCATGTCTATCTAGCCTCTCCACAGGCACGAGGCAGTACACACCACAGAGGAGTCCTGGGTTATGCCTCTACATATTGGCTGAACATCAGGTGTGTGCAACTGGCCAGCTGAGGCACTAACCAGGACTGGCCATGCAGACCACCAAGGGCACTGCTAATGTTTTTATGAACCACTTACAGGGAACTTGTATAGGTTTAATACCTTCAAAACCTCTTGCCTCTCTGTTAGCTTTGGGTGGAATTCAGTAAGTTCAACAGGGCCCTTGAGTAGGGCTCTGAAAAACAGATATTTTAACATGATTGTGAAAGTTGCACATGGTTTCAAAACTTTCTGTCAACTACATCCTCCAGAAGGATGTGGTCTCACCTCTCCTTTATAATTTCCACCTTTCTGCTGCCACAGCTTCAAAACTCATGTGGCAGTGCACAGAACCAGGCATATGTGGACTGGTTTTCAGTCAGAACAGTGACTTCCTGACTCCTGTTTCAGCTCTACAAGTGCTAGAGCTGGAACCACAAAATGGGAAGGAATGGGTGGCAGGAAAAGAGATTGTATAGCAACAGAGATGTCTTGCATCAGATTCAGCCAACAGCCTCATGTCCTAAGGAAACCAGGCTAAAAATTAACTGCTAATTGAGGTTTCCAAATCATTGCCTCTGTTTAGGAAGAGTCTCTCTAAACTTCATGTATGATAGAAACATATAGGTTGTTGTCTGCTTCACTGCTCACATTGACTTTCATTGGTTCCTTTGACTAGTCACAACATTTTTAGAGTGCTTCATGTATTTGGATGGAAACATTTTTGCAGCCTCATACATATGCAGCCCTGCCGGCTTCAGGGTAAAATTTACAGGGCTCATTGTTCATTTCAAGGTTACTAGGTTATGATTTGTTAACTCAAAAACATTACTAAGGAAATCAGGAGGCCCATTCACCACGTAGATGTTGCTGAATACATAAACTACAGTTCTGTGCATAGAATCTAAGATGCAAATCATTCATTGTTACAGTTCTGGATGAACAGCAAGTGAAAGCTCACAGTTATACAATGAAAATGACTCAAAATTTATGTCACAAAGGACGAATTCAACTCTTCATGTTTTCTCTGAAATGTACTGGAAAGCAGCTGATGAAGTGCACCAGTGAGTGAAGATGGAATACAGAGTAGATGAAGCAGATCTTGGACTTCTTTGCTTTAATCATGGCAATAAGTTTACCAGTGTTAAGTGTAGTATCTGTGTAATCACCATTCTGCCAAACCATAAACTGAGGCTATCATTAATGCATAAGATGACAGTCTGAAAAAACTGGACAGCAAAACATTTGTTACCACCATCAAGAGGGTGCTCTCACACCTTTACATTGAGCACGAGAATAAGCTTGTTCTGTCCTTCCCCCAAGAAAACAAAATAAAATTAAAAGCCAATCAACCACAACCATATCTATCTGCAGAGCTCCATTCCCACCTAGGAAAGAAATGGGACTATACCCTGACTTTGCTGATGGGATGCCGGAAGCACTTGTTGTCACCCGTCTCACTCAGGGTGATGGCGTAGAATTGTCCTTTGTTCAAGTAGGTCATGGGTCCTTCCCCTTGCTTTTGACGCAGAGACTTGGTAGCTTCTAGCGTATACTGAAAAGTGCTGCTGAAAAGACAAGGAGACAAACACCCACAAAATCCACATCACTTTCTCCTTTTCTCTTTTATTATGTAATTATTGCATTGTATAAGGCATAAGAAGCTAATGACAAAATTCCAGGCAAATGTCACATGGCAATTTAAAATTAAAGTTTTCTTTTTTCAGCTTCATCAGATCACGCAATCAAGCGTAAAACTATCTGGACTGTAAGTTTCTTGGATCAAAGGCTAGAATCTGTGCTTTCTCTGAAAGGAACCATTATGAGTTATGAGGCTGTGCACCTCACAATGAGATTTACCAAGAGGGCATTCTGTATGATTTGCAGGAAATCATCATCTCCACAGACATTTAAGCTTAGAAGTGTTGTAGAAAGATAAATAAATAAATAAAGATAAAGAAATAAATAAATAACTTTTAAAAAAACCCAAGCAGAATAAAACATGTTGCAAAAGATGGACACAGAGAATGGAAAGTCCAACTGCTACTTTCAGCACAGTTCAAAGAAGGAATAAAAAGAGAAGGGACATTAAGTTCTTTTGTTAAAAAGACAACATGCAAATCAAGGTTTTTAGAAGCTTTCTTTTCAAAATTAGTCAGAGTGAATGAAGTGCCTACATTTAGCTTTATCTTCAATCAAGTAACCTCTCTTTAGAAAAATATCAGGAAAAAACAGCTCATGTGTTGAAATTTTAGATTTCAAAGACACCTTCCTTCACAGAAGAACTTTCCAACTTCAAAGCACTTCTGAAATCATTAAAATTTAAGGCTCCACTAACTAGTGAACAGTTAGTGAATTGCTGGAAACAATTCTCACTGAGCCTCTTCAGCCACCACCTCCAATAATGGGTTTGAACCATAATCCAATAAAAATGGTGCCTGCAGCTCATCATATTCTCTTAGGTCAAAATAATGTTGGTCTTGCAAAAAAAAAATAATTTCTAACTGCACAGGAACCTTAAGGCGAAGAGTCCTTATGAACTGGAGATACAGTGGAAGCATTTTCACAAAGATTCTGATTCAGCAAAGTATTTAAGCAGTGCCAGAGCAGAACCAAAAGGAGGAATACGTTGGTGCAAAAAATATAGTATATCCTTAACCTTCTAATTCAAACAAATACTCGGAAACATCACAGTACTGCCATAGCAATATAAAGGGAAAATAAAAGATATTTTAATTATCCAATGGAAAAAAACCCACAACAAAACACATAATTCATAATTACATTTAAATCCCCACTCCAAGAGACAGTAGAAAAACCCCAAGAGATCCAGTCTTTTCATCCAAAAGGAGTTTCAGACAGCTTCGTATCAATTATTCAGTCTAGCACCAATCATTCAATCAAATGAAGACAACTTTTAAGTGCTTCTTAGCTTATAAATTAAAATCCAGTCATTTTTCTAGTTGCTTAAAAGTTACAAATCAACTCAAAACTAAGGTAATAAACCTATCATCTATACCTATCCAACCCGCTGATGGCAGCACTGGTGCTCCCACACAACGCAGCTGCTGCCACCATGAAGGCTCTTGCACACAGCGCGAAGGCAGCACAAGGCACTGCTGTCCCCCCTCCTGTGGCTGTCCTGTGTGCAAGGGGAAACAGAGGCACTGCCAGCACTGGCAAGTGTGGACCTGTCTGAGTGGGCTGGAAGAGCTATACCACCAGTGCTGCAGAACCAGCATCCATCCTGCTGCACCACTTGTCCTACAGATGGACCACCTCTTAGAGGTAAGGGCACAGCTTTGATTTAGCATCACACGAAGGGACTGCAGGTTGCACACTCAAGATCACTTCTTGACAGACGCACTGAGTGCCCTGGGAGATGTGCCTCAAAACCACACACCAGACAGCAGAGCTAACAAGGATGTGTGCTGAGAAGGGCTTAGAATGATCAAAGTCAGACACACTCAGTGCCTTAACAGAACTGCCTACAGACTGCCATGGGCTGGTCTTCTGTTTCCTGGCATTCCATATGATTCAGTCAAAAAGTGTAAATCCCAGACACATTGCACTTGGCCAATTTTGGAGCCTCTGTGTAGTACCAGTTGAGAGTTTTATTTTTGTTTCTAGCTGGCAAGAAAAGCATGCCCTATAGCAGGAAGCTTACTCTCTCTCTTAAAACTTCATTATTTACTGCACTCACTCAAATTATTATAACACTATTCTGAACCTCACCATGACTCTCAACTAAACCCCTGTGTAATTAGTAAGAGATCTTTAAGCAGGCTTCCAATTACTTTGATATTTACCACTTCCTTTTTCAATTTGAAGTTCTCATTTCTGAGCCTTCTACTCAGATTACTTCTGTAAACTAAATACATCTTTCCTGGGAGTTTTCTTAATGCGCATTCAGAGGTTTCATTCTTAATGTGACCTGGGCTATAGCATGCAAGACTTAAATGTGTGAGAATTGTTAACAATAACAATGCTTCGGGATTCAATTTGACAAATGTTCAGTGTAGTGAGCAACCTTTGCTAAATATCAGTTTCATATCTTCTGTCTATATAATGACTCACTGCAGTTAATGATTGTTTTAACATTCTTCAGAAAAAATATCAAGCTGTAAGGAACCTTCACTATAGTCACAGTCATATGCCTAATCCACGAAAACTACATAAGCGTGTTCCTGATTCTAAAGAGTAATCTCTCAGATATAAACAGAACCATTCACAAGAATGACATAAAGCATCAGTTAAAAACTTTAGTGATTACAGTCTTTACTAGTTAAAGGGACACTGCAGTGTTTTCCCATGCTACATACACATTTCTTCTGTGTATTCTGTGCTTAGGCAGAATAGTATTCTTTTCAAACTTTAATTTTTGTAGGTTTTTCTTGAAGCATTTCAACTGTCTTGGACATTTGACTTGTGCAGTCTGCCCTCATGAAAAGTTTTTTCATGACCTGGCTGTCAAAGCTATACTCTTTTACCTGGGAACCTTTCAATAGTTTTAATCTTGCATATCTTGGGCGGAGGCTTCAGAGGAATGATGAGTTTAAAGCAATGCTGAGGGAAGGTAACAGAGCAAGTTATAAACTGGCCAGATCCGAGAGCTAACATGAGCAAGAGAATAAGGGGAGACTAATGCTCGCCAGTATTATCAAGGGAGCCCTGCAGGCACCCCACGGTGAAGAAAAGAAGGGTGAGAAGTAGACACAGACAGCTACTCAATACATTCCTGCCTGATGCCAGTCAACACACTACAAAGCTTATGCCATACCTTGTTTGTTCATAAATATATTCTTCAGCCCCCACTGACACACTCCGATACTTCTGAAAAATAAGACAATTAAATATTGTTTGATAAAATCAAAATGCAAATACCAACAAAAGTGTAACAATATTTATTTAAAGACAACTCAAAGGAAATCATTAACCATTTAACACTCAAAATACCTAAAAACTGGAGTGGATATTAATATGATAGTCACATTTTATATGAAGCTTAGAGCTTGACATTGTAAAAACACACAATTTACTTACCTAACCTCAAAGAATTTGTTTACAGTATAAAGAACTAACATGCTAAGGACAGCTAAACAAGAAAATGAAAGAAATGAGAACAGTATATTTATAATTGTTAGGATTGTATCCGAAGAACATAGCAAGCAATTGACCAAAGTATCCACTGCCATAGGGATCTACAAAAACTCAGCACTCCTTCAGTGTGAACACAACTAAGTCACTCCATAAATGTTTTGAAACTATTTATAAATACGCATTTATAATGTGTTTGACAACTGAATAAGTATTAGAGCAAATCCAAACCCAGTCATTTATACCAGTACTTAGGAAATACTTTGCAAGCACTTACGAAAACTAGTAAGAACAACTGCCTTCCTACTTCTAACTTTGCCTAAATTTCCTCTGGTATGTTTTGACATTTTACCTTATAGTTTCCTACACCTGCTCCATCCAGCAGTGCCTACACAACAGTGGGTGCAGGAGTATCCGAGCACGGCCTGAGGTTTGGGCAGTTGAGAAAAACAATGGGACAGGCTCAGTGCTGAGTGAGGCTTCAGCAGGGGGGCAAAGCTCTTCCTGCTCCCAAGCCACATGCATGTGAATACTTGTGGCTAAAAGGCCACCAACAGTGGCCCACATCTTCCCTGAAAACTATGGCTGGGGACCTAAAGTCAATTTTCCAGTGTCCCTCATAGAATTAATAGGGGAGGTGAAGATGGAGAGGAGTGAGTACACTTAGAAAACCACTCCACCCACTTTTGGCAAGCGGATCTGAACCGATTCTTTCTCTACAGGCTGCACAGAAATCCTGGATGACAAGTACTGCACCCTTTTATCAATAAATTATTTTAAAAACATGTAACAATATATTACCATTGTAACAAAATTACTGTAACAGAGAACTTGGGATACAAAGCAAACATATAGTTGTAAAGTTCCTTTTTTATGTCCAAATTTAACAAGTTTGCATATTTGACAGCTATCTGCACAGGGCAGATGGACTGTTTGGAAACCTCTCAGCAGCATGTCCCAGAACAATCAATGTAATGGAATTACTCTGCTAGAGCTCCCCAGGGAAAGCTATGAGATTGGTTCCAGAAGAGCCATTTACCAGTACAAGTAAAAATAGTCAAACTAATATTATTTGATAATGCAGAGCAGTGTCTCTAATCCAAGGTTTGATCCTACTGATTTTAAAATGGGAATCCAGATTTCTTCATTATTTATTCATTTAGTTGACCTACATGTGTTCAATATCTGAAAACGGATTTCACCTCCAGGCATCCTGGATCTGTGTTGCTCATGGAGACAACGTACTTTTCTATAACACATGTACACAAACATACAGTAAATTTCTCATATACTCAATCAGGGCAGCTCAGCCTTAATGTAGCTTGCTTTGTACTTCTGTTACATTTAAAATTTTGCAGAGTTGGGAAGAGAAAAACCTTAGGGGAGTTTTACCATCTAATTATTTGCAGAGGTACTGTCAGATTTAAATCGTCTTTACCTTTCTACAATTCCAGCTTTTTTGCATTATTCTCAGCAGGCAAAAGCAGCCAGAAGGTACTCACCATACTAAAGGTGACTGTAAAACTACTTTGGCTCAGCATTACTGTACAATAATTAGAATGAGCTCTCCTTGCCTTTTTTCTCCTCATTCCTGCACATACACATACAGTTGTTTCTTGTCCGTCGAATTCTGTTCCCATTAGTCTAACTCTGCTACTTTTTCTCACTTGCTTGTGTTGCAGAATAGAGCTTAGTGCAACAAACAGCTTCTGAATAAATTACTTGGGTTTATCCAGCAGCAGAGGCTGTTGGTACTCATTTGCATTTTCAAAAGAACATCTAGAATTTCCCTGTTACAAAGTGGTTGTTTCTTACTGTTATGAATAGATCTGAAGGCAGATCTTCTTAATGGTAAATAAATCTTCTTTAAGAATAACAACTATCTTCTACTTGACATAATATCCCCAAAGACAAAAAAAAAATCAATTCTTTATTTTTCTCAGAATTTTCAATAAACATCTTTTAAATTGTCTTCTGAAATGCCTCATGATGCTCCCCTATAATCACAGCACAGACTGATGGGAACACAGCAGGGAGCAGAAATTAATTTGTTGAAACAAGCATCAGTGTTCTTCTAATGGCTCTTGTGGACAGTTCAAATCTTCTTATCTTGTTTACAAGCTCAAATATCCCTATCTTGTTTACAGCTTTTTATTGTGTTCTTAGATGCTAATTTGAGGTTAAAAACTTACTTCTGTTCCTCCATCTTTGAAGGTGTCACTGTAAGTACTGTCAGGAGTACTGCGCTGATCATCTTTAAGATAATTGGGAGCAATGCTGGACACTTCATACGGTTCAAAGATAACGCCCCGGTGCTCCTCATTTTCTCCTCTTGTATAGTGTGTTTGTGGGGTCATAAAAACAGGGGTAAATTCCTCTGCTTTAACCACAGTCACTGCAGACCCTGTGATGGGTGTTGAGCTCCCAGACACATTTGTGTTGTATTCCCTTTTGGATGACTCCAAAGGATCTTGGTTCAAAGAAAGGTTAACTGGCACAGTCTTCAGGACTTGCACACGGTTCTCTCCCCCACTTAAGTTATTCTGAGCTTCCGTGGTATTAAGACAATTTCTGTGAGACAAAACCAAAAAATGTTATTAACTGTCCTGATAGAGGAAATCTCCTCCTTAAATAGCTTAATGGTCTTAGATGTCACCGAAGATTTTTCAGTTCTGATAAGCCACTGACATAAGTAGTAACACCTTAACAAATACTAGGCAAAAGAAATTGTGAGGCAATCAGAGAAGTCCAGAGCTCTATAACAAATGGGAAAAGATAATACATTTAATTTGACTTGTCACAATAAATTCTGGGTATCCAGGATTGCTCTTGCTTTAGCTTATAATTTGGATGCAAAATCAATCCAGTAGCACAACAGCCTTTAGACACAAAATAAAGAGTAAGGCAGAGCATGGACTACTCACAGTAGAAATTTTGCACATGAAACAGGCAGAATATCAACAGCAAAATTCATACACTGATGGGATGCTCTTTCAGGCTGTTGCCAGGCCACTACTGTTTGCTTAATTCTGGTACCAATGCTATTCTAAAAGAGCAAGCCCAGGAATTCCATTGTAGCAGAGTAGATCAGTAACTACAGTGGCTGCAAGGTAACCTCAGCAGCATTCCCACATCTACCCACAGTTGCTCTTGAAAGCAATCTGATACGCTGATAGTAGTTACACTGACATAAAATTGTTAACTCATAGAACTCTTAGTAGGAATAATATTGTCTTGTTTTCAACCCAGGAGAAATGCTCTGACACTACCATTCCTCTCTCTTGGCTTTCCACTGAAGGCCAGTTTTGTCAACCATACTCAGTTTAGGAATTGACCATCAGGAATTTCTCTGGTGTTTGTAGAAGAAAAACTGTCCAAAATCCTTTTCATAGCCTATTTTGAATCAGTAAATTTATACTACCACCTATTGAAACAATTACCTTATGAACAGCTAGTGGAGACCATCTAAGGCTGTCACAAATTAGCTACATTGAAATAAACCTTGTATAGCTCATCTCTGTCATAAATTCATATGGAGATACCTTCCAGTATGTAAAGACTTCATTGTTTCTACCAAAATATACACTCTTTTCTGCAGGTCTTAATAAGCAGTAGGCAGCTTCCTTCGACTCAAGTCACTTTTAGCTTACAGAGAAAAGCTGAAATCTGAGAGAAGTGAGAAAAACATTCTAAGCAAATGATTTTAAGAGAGTTACTTTATTTGCTGGGCAGATCCTAAGTTATGTAAAATATAACTCTATAAAAGAGGCTACTGAGGCCAGACTACTCACTTTTTGCCCTACAACAAGAAAACAAAAAACCAGCCAATAGCCAACTATCAACATAATCTGATTTTACTAATCTCAACAGCAGCAGCAAAACACCAAACACAAAGTGAAACTCTCAGCTGCTTTCCAAACTGAATGTTTGAGAATACTCTCCATTTTTTCTAATCAATTAAGAATAAAAAGGAGTAAAATGTGCTTCCCAAAACAGCCTTCATATTCTTTTAACTTTTGAAATAAAACCATAAATCCCTCAGGGTCTCACAGTTCCTGCAGTTCACAACTGATCCACACTTTTAGTAGCTGGGTGTATGATTTTGAATAATACTGTACCTTTTATCTTGGTCTTCTTGATTATCACTCACTTTGTTAACAGACAACAGCCTTTTATCTCTGGGAACCTGAGAACAACACCAGGCATGGGGTCAGGTAAATGCAACTGTCAGGCATTTGCAGCTTCAGACTGCTCTACTGCAACAACTAGAAAAATGTAACTCTAACAGTGTTGTCTAGTTCACAGATGCCAGGAGATGTTTTTCTTTGGGAGACTAATGTGAACAGAAAGAAAATTTCCAAAGAGAAAAAACATAGGAATTGTTTTCTTTTCTAGTTCTTGGGCATACCAGTTAGGAGCAAAGCACTTTTCTTTATGTCCTATCTCTTGAATATCAAGCTAGGCCATGCTATCTCGAAATCAAAGCTCATATTATTCCAAAAACACACACACACTTTTCACTGAATAAAACAAGATGAGAAGATACAATGCTTTGATGAGCTCTGTGCTGAGACCATTTTATCTCAGAGAAAAAAGGCTTTTCAATTAAACCATAAGCACCAGGTAAGTCCTTCTGTTAGAGAGAAGCCTGGAGAGTGCAGGATTCATACCAAGGGAAAATTTGTGGATCTTTTCCTTTCCTAGTATGGGGACAGGTCAGGGCATGCTGGTATGTCACCAGAAACACTAACTTCTGCTTTGCTGATTGCATCAACAGCTATAAGAGGTAAAAACCCAGTCAAATCTGGCCCCTTGGCAGACTCAGAATTGACACCAAGTAACTTAAAAGATTTGTATTCCCACATACCAATGTTCTGACACCAGCACACATTATAAAATCTCCAAAGGCAAAGTTGCTGCCTTGACCATATTTTTCTTTTCTTGATGAGCCATTGATTTGGGAGCTAAAACTTCTATCTTTTGCACAAAAAGACATATCCACGTCATCACAGCAATTAACTCAGTATTAAAGAGCAAGAATAGTCCCAAGAATGAGCCAAAGCAATGCTCACTTTTAAATATTTTAAAGAAACATCAGAAAAATATCCAACTTTAGAGGAAAAACAGTATCACAGTGCACTCCAGTAGCCAATGATAACATGAACAATAACTACAACAGCACAGTCACAGAGTTCTATTCAGAGCTGTTCTTTCTTTTTGGGACATCTCTTTTCCTTATTAAGCATCTTGCTGGTTAAAAAACCTCTTTCATTTATTTTTTGAACTGGGATAAAAGCCACAGTTTACATATGTTGATTCCCCTTTTAAGATTACCTATTTATCTCTGAATGAGGGTCTAGGTTTAGGTAAACATCGCTACAAGAAAAAAGAAAAGTTTAAAAAAACAAACAGTTAAATTCAAATAATTTCTATTGACTGGAAAAAGAAATTTAAAAATATTATCCTGTATGTCAGAACAAATGAGCCAGATTATAAATAAGGACAATTCAAGAGTCTGGTGCACTGGAAGTCCACTACACTTCCACATTACAGCACAGGGGTTAAGTTTTAAGTTTGTGTTTGGGAGTATCAACAAGAGTTATCATTTCTTCCCTATTTAAGACAAAAAATAGTTATGATTGAATGCCAGAAATGGTTATGAGATGCTAATCCCACCTTATTCCATCAGAACCCCAAGTCTTTTGCAACTGCCTGGAACAAGGAGCAGACATGTCTTTTAGAACATGGTTTTCAGAAGGAAAAGGTCTATTTTCTGCTTTTATTACAAAAATCCATCAGATTAATAAACTGCTACATACAGAGGTATTACTAAGACAGAAGCCAATACTCCAGATGCTCATACACATCCTGAATTTTATGAATCCATATTAATTTCAGACTCTGGCACTGTGGTAACTACATCAAGCAGAGAAAAGGACTATTTTTCTTTCACATTGGGAACAGTTTTCTCAACTGACAACACCACATAAACACATATCTCATGAAATATAATCAGCAGAGCAATTAAAACAGTATTTAACCATAAGGTTGGTATATGGCATCTTCCCTACAACCTCTTCTCCTGAACACTCAGTGTCACAGAGATTAAAAGGAGGAGTCAATTAATCAAAAGCATTTATACTAATAAATACTAAAAGCAAAGGTTTTTAATTCCCATTCCTGTTACTTCTTCATGAATTACAAGGGGACCTAGCATTGCTCTACCGGCTTTCACAGATCATCTGTGCAAGGCAGCCATAGCTGACTTCAAGGGTATGGAGAGTGTTCTTTTCACTGAAACTGTGTCATATTCTAGTGCTTGGGAGGCAACACTGATGCTGTTTGCAGGGTACCAAGGGGTCAGCATGGGTTTCAAAATGACATTTTACATTACACAGAGATGCACTCTGTAGGACTCTCCTCTGATTTCAGCAAAAATCTCAGACATAGCTTTACTTAAACACTATGAAATATATATATTAAAAAAAAAAAAAAGTTACCAAAATTGTATGTAAAGCCCTGGATTTAGAATATGACAAACTGAAACTGTGTCAGTGCTTTTCCTACAAATTGACTTAGATCTCTGGTTCTGTGTCCAGCTCTATTTCTGTCCTGCAAACTTCCAAGTGCAAGGGCTAGACCTCACTGTTTGTATACAGCCTGCTGCAATCATTATACAAACAAAAATAACATGGGAAATTGTCAGATGAGAGATACCCCAGTTAAAGAGCAAACTAAAACATGTGTGGAATGAACCAGAAGAACAGACAAATGTACAGATGGACAAGGCCTCTCTTTTTACACTTGTTTGAGAATATTTCAAGTATCATCAATTGTTCTTGCAAAGTAAGAGGAAGAACACTATGCACAAAAAGAAAACATCGTAGAAAATTTAATACGGGAATTCCAATATTGTTTTTTTCTCTCCAGAATTAAATACATCAAACTGTTTCAGACAGGCTTCCTTTAAAGGAATGGGTTCATGACGGAAACATTAGAGACAGAACAAGATGCAGTGACTTCTGTCTTTGAAAACTGGCTCTTTTGATGCCTCTTAGAGTGGTCCCTGCTAGTGCAGCAGGGAAGGATAATGACAGAATTACCTACTTTATAATAGTCATACAATAGGCCAAGAGCAGCAGCACTGTCCTCATCACCATTTATGCTCATCATAGCCTTGGTAGCTGCTGTTAGGGGATTCTCCAAATACGACTTCCAGGCTTCATCTTCACTGGTGTAGGCTCGTCTGGTGTTGAATGAAGTGTCATTTGGCACTAAGGCCACAAGTCGCTTGTTACTGCATAGACAGGAAGAATAAAATTGTGATCCAGAAGGGATTACTTTATTCACAAGGCATGGTAAAGAACATCAAATAGCTCAATTAAAGTTAAATGATTACATCAAGCAAGCATGTCTGTATTACACTTGGCGACATAAATATTTATCAGTATTAGCTATCTTCAGTACTTAAAAAAACTTAAATGCGTGCAGATCTTGTGATACTAATTCAAATGTATTTTTACTAATATACGGACAGAGCTACAAAATTATTTTTAAACTATTTGGAATAGGAATGAAGCAACAATATAACAATATTTTGCCTCAGTATTTTTGCTACATGTACACTTGATTAAGGAAAAAAAAAAATCCAACATTTAATTAACATAAGACATGAATGAAAAACAAGAAAAAGCATCTAATACTAATCTAGAGTTCAGCATACAGTTCAGTATTATTAAGTGGGTACACCTTAAAATTAAGCTATTCTCTGCTTTTAGAATGCAATTTGTCAGTAGTTTCACAGAAGTTTTCTGTAACCAGACATGAGCAATAGGTCCAGTGGATGGAACAGAAGTAAACATATCTGGTCTCAATTCACACTTTATCACTCATCTACTTATAATTGTGTTTATCTCACATCTAGTTATAAACCCATGGTAACACACACAAGACCATTAGTGAGTGGCATTTGCAGTAAAGCAGTTTCCTCCAGCCTGAAAGTGCTACAAACAGACCAGTGCCCATGTATACTGCATGAGAAGCTGCTGCACCACAGCTATGGCCAAAATTTCCAGTATAATGGAAACATAAATGAAGATAATAGCACCTGCTTTTGCAAACTGTTCAATAAACTCATCAATAAAAAAACTGCATATAAAAAAAAATAGTTGCAGGACTATTACATAAGGTAGACAAACAGATTAGGCATGGGAAATAGTGGAGTGAGGGGTGTGCTGCTTCATAGGTATTACAAGAGCACTGTCAAGAATTGTGGCTCAAGTTACAAGTATGACAACGAAACTTTTAACATATTGCACCTTACAAATTTGAAAGCTGCAGTGATGGCAATATAACTAAATATATCAACCTAACTGATAAAACTAGTAGTATTCCTGGTGATCTTCATAAAACACTTTTTGCCATCTTCCACATATAATCCAGTTTAGTAGCCAGCCTTCTCTTTCTGATCTGCCCTACCTGCACCAGCTCCACAGCTCTAACCCAACCAACTGCTGCTGTTGCACAGAGAGTGGCATTTAAACTGTGCAAACAAGACTTTTATTTGTTTTCAGAAATAGGATTTGATAAAAGCACAACTGAACCCACACAGTAAAGGCTCTTGGATGCTGGGAGAATGCCTTGCCTGGCCCCAAGCTGCAGTGACCAGCAGAAGGCTGGGGCATCGCCAGAACTCTGCTGTGGTGCAAGTCCAACCTGAAAAGTGCATGCTCCAGTGTTTAAGGAAGAGGAGGGGGGATGGTGGAGATTATAATCTCTATGGTACAGAGCACTGTTTACAAGTTTCTTTATTTAATGAAAAACAAAAGAATCCATCTGGTACACAGAACACAATTTTATGAACTCTGTGGGGGAAGAGAGCATTTCATAGCTTTGTATCAGAAAATACAGGCAACTACAGTACCAGTTCTATTTTCCTTTCAGATAAAGTAACTGGATTTTTGGAAACTTCTTTTTTTTTTTTTTATTTAGAACTCTTCTGCCTGGCCTTTTGCTGAAGATTTTCGTCCTTCTTGTTTTCATGTATACATTTGTGTTGTTACAGGTTTGCTTCAGCAAGTGAAACTGAGCATAAATTAGGAGCCTAAGGAAATACAGAGAGAGCTGCTAGGTCTGCTTGCCTTTTCAATACCGCATTGTTAGCAACTCAAATCAGATTTGCAAAAGCCCTGCTGTTTGTGCCAGAGGTAGCTGAGGGCCTGTTTCCACTCTGGAGTAGTCAATTCTCCCTGGCTCAGAGGACATTATTCCAAGCAAGGATTCTCCTTTCCTCAACAAAGCTCCCCTTCAGCTAAATCCAGGTTGCTTCACCGCATGGGCGGCTGCCCATTGCAACGCAAAAAATCCTGCTCACCCTTCTTCCTGTAGCAATCTTCCCTTAAAATCAATAACTGCCTTTTGTTACTTGGAGCACTCACACCTGTGTGACAGTCATAACTGATTTATGAGCACTACAATCAGACAGCAAGATCCCTTTAAAAACACACCTTCTATAACTTGGGCTGTGCTAGTCTGTAAAAATGCTGGAGGGGAGGAGTCAGTCTCTGCTGCCCTAACTTAGCCAAGATGATCTTAAAGCAATGACCAGAGTGCAGTCTTTCAGAGGTGCATATCTGATTGTGCTGGGGAGAAGCCAAAGCAAAGGGGATAAATGCTCTAGAAAGAGCAGCTCAGAAAGTAAACAGTTGGGATGGCTGGAAAGGCACAGGTGCATGGACCTAGAGCCTTCCCAACATCTCTCCCAGAGCATGTTTTTTTCTAAAACTCAGATTTTTACATTTGGAAAAGAAGTATCTGTCTCCTCTGCCTTGAGAGACGGTCTGTAGCATAATTAACTGACACATTCATTGTGTTTACTCTGCAAACAGACTGAAACAATAGCACTAAGAAAAATAAAAAACTTCCTCATCACCCCTATCCCTGTAATCAGCTCTGTGGGAGGTTAATGGTCAGAGCTAATTATCATGATTTAACATAGTCAATCATTTCAAAGATTATAGCCAAAGCAGTCAGCCAAAACAATTGGGGTCACTTAAAGAAAACTTCTCTATTAAATAAGGCCATTTGCATGAGAGGGAGAGTTTCTCTGAAGAAATGAGACTTGTGCATGCACACACATTCCCTTTCCTTTTTGCACAACTGCTAAACCTCCTTGGACGATTGCAGCTAAATGTGACAGAGAGGTAGCAAGCCCTCCATAACCAGAGGAGATAAATACATTTTATTTTAATATACACCAAGAAAATCCAGCACCCTAAGTGAGACTCTACACAGGTCAGCTTCCCTGATCTTGTCTGTCATACTTCCATGCCACGGCAGCCCCAGCTGTTCCAGCTGTGCAACTGATGACAGCTGGAAACTGGAGAGGAGCTGGGAGAAGAGTGACTCTGGTGGTATCTGGACCATCTGGAAGATAAAGGGTAACACCTAAGAGTAAGAGCAATCCCACTGTAGAGCTGCTCTGACCATCCCAGCTGAACAAAAAGGCCAATTTGGAGCCTGCAATTAGCAGATCCATAAATCTACGAATCTTATCAAATGCTGCAAATCCATCAGTGACCACATCCACCAAGAACCACACACCTAAGAAACAAAGATAGGCCAAGATTGCCAGACTTCCACTCAACCTGACCAGCAACACCAGCAAATACCCGCTGTAGCCTCAGTCACACCTAAAAACCTGCGAAAGAGCAGAGAACAAGAGCAATCCTTGCTGTGCCCATTCCTCACCGGCCAACCACTTCTCCATCTGGGAGTCAGGATGTATGCTAACCAGAACACAGCTGAGAGGTGCAAGATGAAAGCACACCCTCATTTTACCAGCTCTTTACCAAGAGCTGAAGAATTTAGGATACTTTGTGTCTAAAAAGTAAATGCTTCCTTTCAAGCTACTACTTGAGTTCCTCATGAATGCAAAATGTTTCCATTGTTTTATGTCAAACAGTAATAAGTGTGCAAGAATGAAAGATATTTTCTGGGCAATGGTCTAGCTAGGAACTAGACTGCTCTGACACGGGAGCATTTATGTCAAGACTAAACTTCCGATGGCCTTTATTTTGCAAAATCTTTTTTTTTTTCTCCCCACCACTTAGAAGAGATTCTCCTGTTCGTACCATCCAAAGTGATTTGTGTGTTTTCATAAGACATACATAAATTTTCCATATTAACAGCAGTTACAGTGATTTTTTTTTAACTTTTTTACAATTCAGATTATGGAATTTTATAAAACCTACACAAGCATAGTATATGAATTTGAAGATATCTAAAACTTTGTTGCATTTCAGTTACTGCAGTACAACAATGTAAACTGGAGAAGTACATAGTACTTGACATCAATCAATCATCTAAATGGAAAGGGCCAGCCTTTCAAGCTCGGATTAAAGATAATGAACATACACCAGCCAGCCCTTGGGGCTATAAAATCCTACTACAGGCAAATTCTCACCCAACTTGATGCATTTTTTTAATTAGTTTACAATGAATCAGAATGGCCCATTAACACACTCATGAACAGTGGTAAAACGCTTGGTGATCAGAGCTTCCTTTTTATTCAGAAAGATGTCCTGCCTGCCAGTCTCTCAAAACCAATTCTGATGCTCAAGAGCTTTCCCTTGAATTTGCAAAGCTCAAGCAGTCCTCAACTTTTCAGCTACATCTGCCAGTGAACATAGAGCAGACTGATGCAGCTATGCTGCATCAAGTACATCTGCATCCTGCTCCATCATAAGATGAGTACTACATCCTGATCCAGTTGGCCCCAGTAGGAAAGAAAGCCTCTTCCTACCTGCCCCACATCTTTTACCTTGCCCAGGATATTCAATCCTGAAATCCAAAGCAGATTGTTTAGACTACCAAGGTGGGCACCCAGCCCAGCCATTTCCATTTTTTAACTGGGGAGAGGGGGTTGGTTGGTGGGGTTTTTTTACAGTGAATTTGTCCCTAAAAAAAAAAAAAAATTATAATCAAGCTGCTCCATCAATATACCTGCAGACTTCTTCACCTCCTGACAATGCAGGAGGATTTTCCCCTCCCTGCAGAGGCTGGATGCCAGACGGGAACACACAGGCAATGTGTGTGAGGCAGGAGAACGGGAGAGGTTCCAATTCCCAGGTTTCAGCCCAGGCCTGAGCTTGCTCATTCTTACACAGGTGAGATAACAGCACCAGGCATTTCTGCACACATCATCTGCAAACTGTTCCTTCAAGAGAAGGGATACAAGGCTTTGGTCCATACAGCTATTATAAAGTATCCAGAAATTTTAGCACTAGTCAAATAACTAGAAAAGGCAAGACAGACTCCTGCCACCCTTGTTCCCAGCATTTCAAGGCCATAGGATATTTATCATTAAGTTCCTTGTTAGTTGCATGATAAGAAGGTGACTAGGGCAACTGTCTGCAGTCTGCAAATGCTGGGAGAAACACAAATTCTAAAACAAGATTCTAGGCAAAGGGACTTTTGTTGCACACAGGCATGCATCACACACCATGGTGCATTCTGGTCTTTCCTCCAGTGCAAAGTCAAAAAAATGGTGAACTTGTAGAACATCCATGTTTCATTTGGTATGACAAAAGAAGCATGTTCCAGACACATCCAGGAACCATAAAAGAGAGCAGAAGTTCCCTCTTCAGTTTTGACACAACTAAGGAGGGCAGAGTATGATAATTTACAAACGTTTCAAACCCTCTGTAAGTTTATTTTACATTTAGACAAACCTTAATTCAGCTATATAAGACAACTATAAAACAAATCTAGAACAGATGTTCATTCAACTTGTCTTAAAACTAATGCACATACTTATGAATTCATGGCACAAAATGAAGTACTATGACCATTTAACATGCAGGACAGATCCCACAGAAGCTGCATAAGTTAAACTTCAGATTCCATATCACAAATTTCTGCCTGTGTTCATTACACAGAGAAGTACAAATCAAAGTTAGCCCTAGTGCTTGAAACCATTTGTTTCAAAGATTCTAATGCTAGTTTTGGCCCAAGTTTACTACCTTCAGAATACTACTTTGCCTACTTGACAACAAGTCAAAAACAAAACAAAAAAACAAACAAAATACCACCAAAAAATCCCCACAACTTGTGTGGCTCATTGCAAGTTTTGATTTATTTAGTTAAAGAAAAAAACAAAAACTTGAGACTTGTCAGGATTTATTGCCAAAGGTATAATTAAATAGTCTGCAATACTGTTTTTACAATTAGATAATAGGGTTCTGTTAAAACTACAAAGGAGTGCAAACATTTAACGAACAGGAAAATTATGGTCCATGTGTCGCAGCATTTTGCCTTTCATAGCTGACAATCACACCATTCCCAGAAGCACAACAGGTCTCCAAAATGTACTTAACCCAATCCAGTGACTATATAAAAATACAAACTAATTGAGAGTGAAAAAAAAAAAAATAAAAAATCAAAGCATTTAGACCACCAGGAAACAAAAAGGTAAAATGCCCTCTGGCCCAGAAGTCCATACCAAGGAAAAAAAAAAACCTCCCATTAAAGAGACTGAGTCATTTTGCCTTCTAATGAATGCAACTTTGAGACTCTTGCAATTTTGGGACAATTTTACTTTTAGAGCACAAAAAAAATCTGAGCAAGATTACACACATGAAATGAAAGAAATTGTTTTACCATTACTCAACACTGAGAGGAAGTAAAATAATATATTAAGAATAGCAACAATGAAGGGCAAAACAGACTAGTTTAACAATTAGATGCCAAGGAGAAGTTTTATTTGTTTTTACTCTGAACCAAAATAACTTGAGCATGCAGTAGTGATCAAGAGATTAAAAGAAATAGGTGATTCATTAACATTGACAAAAAAATATTAACTATGTCAAAGCAGAAGTATGAAACAGAAATCTGACACAAGGATTAAATACCTACAATAAATGCCTACTGAGGACTAGTGTTCAAATAGGCAATTACTTACCCTATGACAGACTTTTCATACCTATGGTTTCAGAGACAATTTTTTTGTTTCACTTGTAATAAATTATTTATACCACACAATTTTTTGCTACTCACGTAATAAGCCTGTTGCTTTTATTTTTTTTAATCAAGACAAAGAGTCTAAAAAAAAAGACAGGTTTCAGCACATTTGTAAAAAAATCACTGACATCAAAAAATGAGGAAAAGGTGAAGCTTTTTCTCAAAATTTCCTCAAAAAATGAGGAAAAGATGAAGCTCACAGCATTTTTGCAGGAGCTGACAGAGTTGATCAGAATTAGCAATTATTTTGCAGATTCATGGCATGCCATGCTGTTTTCCTAAGAAGAGAACTTCAAGTGTGCATAGCACCCAAGGTTGTTTTAGCTGACTTGAAGCAGATAGAAGCAGGCTGCAAAATTAAAAACAGGTCATGACAAGGCTGCCCAGACCTTCTGCAATTTAACCTGACCCTTGGCCCCGTGGTCCCTGTTCATTCACTGCTTCCACAGAGTTAATGGAAATGGAATAGCAACTGCACTGATAGCACTGATTGCTGTTTTTCCAGGATATTAAATCTTTTACGCAGCTGGAAGGAAAACACGAATTCAACAAGGAAACCTGTGAGTCAAGATTTCCCACAAATATTTTTTAAAAGCATACAAACCCAAAAATATACTCTACAGAACTACTTAAATACATTATTATGGAATATACCATTGCCTCAAATCAGGAAAACTAACAAATCTATATATAAAAATATAGCTATAAATAGAAATGCAATAAAAAAGAAACCTATATACATAATATATACATAATAATATATACATAATCTTTGATGTTTGAGACATACTCTCAAGCTAGAGATATATTGCAATACCTGACTTCACAGTTCAGATGTACTTAATATGGTTTCCTTGGTTAAATATTTTGTAAGCAACCACTGTATTTTATGTCAGCACTGTAGAAGAACAGAACAGTATCCCTGTATACTGAGATGTCTGAAATTATTACTTCTTTTAACTAGCTAGTACTGTCCCAATCACTGATCAAAAAGCTAATGAAGTTTCATCCCAGGATTAATTCCTAGATCCACATTTGAAAGTGCTATTTTGTGTATGCATAAAAAAGCTTGATTGGCTGCTTCCTAATTAAAAAAACACAAAACTTGAGGTAACCACTGCACTGAATTAATATCTGTGAAAATATTTGGCAACAAATGTTAACTGGTGTAATATCATCTCCCCTTCAGATGTTCCAGCCAAAACAGGGATGATGATGTCCCTGCTGACCCTTCCACTGGGAAGAGGTTATGTGATCATTACAATCAAGTTAAAGTGACCTGGGAAAATCCCGTCCCTCCTCTTCAGCTTTGATCTTCAGTCTAGTCTCAGACTCCAGCACCAGAGAGACAGTAGTGTAAACAGCAAGACCTAACCATTTGATACTTTTACTCCTTTTAGTTAAACTTATGGTTGCAAGTTCTATGAGGTTCTGCACGCTGAATTTCCACCTTCCTTGCAGAGAAATGGTTTTCTAGGGAACATCTGTGACAGCATGTCTGGCATTCAAAAAGCACAATGAAATACATCCAATTCCTGTTTCTACTTTCTTTCCTGGATGAGTAACACTGAAAAATTCATCTCACTGGATGCCTTATTCAGACAATCAGCTGTGGGGAAAAAAATATTAAGTGATTTGTCACCTAATTGTTACTTAATATCTGCTGATGGGAAACATGTTTGACCCTCTAAGAAATAATTAAGAACAAAACACAGAATCACATAGTAAATGACAAACCCCCTTTGTGATATAGCACTAGATGCTTAAGTTAAATATTATGAAGGCAGTAAATTTACACACTGAGGAGAAAACAGTAAATCAAAATTACCCTACGAAGAGCCCAAGATCAATTTCTGCCACAGATACTACCAAGCAGCAAGCTGGATGTGAACATGCCTCCTCTGACACATGGGAACAGGTCTGAACCCATTCCCACCTACGGGCTTGCTCTCCACTCAGTTATTTACCTACAAGCACATGCTCTGCTGCAGAGCCAGGCTGCCCCAAGCCCTCCTTTATGTGGGCAGTCTGAGCATGCCCCAGCCCCAGCTAGCTGGTGTCCTGAGTAGCTCTGCACACCCTGGGCTGTCGGGATGCAGACAGGCAGCTGGCCAGCCAGCAGCGTACCACAGCAGCCAGCGTGCTGGGACGGGCCACAAGCCTGCTCTTCCTGCAACTGCTGCCCCAGCCCACCTGGGCCTACACACAACTCCAGGAGCAGCAGGGACACAACTGTGGCATTTACAGGACAGACCCCAAATGGTTGTACAATTGCTGCTTCTTCATTCACAGAAGCGCTGTCAATTTCTAAAACCCAGTTAAGCCTCAAGTAGTGAGCCTGCTGATTCGTTCCACTAATGCACTAGAGAGCCATGACTCTGGAGTTTTGTGGTGATCACTTTGTTTGTATACTACAAAAGAACAACTTTAGCCTATAAACACAGAAGTGTACCCTAGAATCATCTTTTCACTCTGCAAAAGTGACACTCCCTCCTTCCCACCCTATGTCCCTCAGCCTTCATCAATCCCCAGGTTCTCCTCAAAGGATCTGGAAATTGGATAATAAAGGAAGCAGCAGAGCAGACATAGAAAACACTCAGAGTGGGAGGGACACACATTTCCTTCTGCAGAGATTATAGTTTGAACAGTTATTTTCTTAACATCTGCCATTTGCAGCACCCCTGCTGCATATGAAACCAGGCCGATGAAAAATGGATGTCAAAAAATAACCTCAGCTCTGAGCCAGTTCTTTAGCTGCACGACAGCTCTACTGGCACAGCTGAGAGGGTGGAACAGAGGTAGGAACAAGCGGCCACAGCCTGCTTAAGTCAGTATTACCTCTGAAAAATGTGTGTGCAATCATGCCTTATCTCTCCTGACCCCAGAGTTTGTGGAAATAAGCAGACAAGACCCAGCTTAGGCAGAAAGACTAAAGGGAAAGACAGGGAGATAGTACCCCTATCTTAAGGATAGTCTACCTTTCCAAGCTCTTCTGTTAGCATTACAATCAAACACCTGGTTCATTAGCATTTTCACCTAACTGTCCACCTTCCTCCCTTAAAGCACTACAGAACCTGTCCTACTGCTTCCTCAAAAGAGAGACATTGCAGGCAGCTCTGTGCAGTAGTGCAGAAGGGTCTATCACCTCTCCAGAAAAGCCAGCAAGCCCCACAGAATGTGTTTTGAATGTGTTTTTCCACGCTTTCTGTATCCCCTCCACTGCTTACTCCTCTATACCAGTAGAGGTAAGCACAAGACCCACAGAGACACGTCCAATGTTTCTGGCAAATTAACTGACTTCAAAATAATGAGCTCCACTCTCCAGTCTTGCCTGTAGGGAAGATCTGGTTTTAAGAAAAAGAAAGGCCATGTGGAAGAGAATCATGTACTCTCTGGATTAGGTTCTAATTTGATATAATTAGAACCTTAAAAAAAAAAACAAAAAAACAAAAAACCCAACAATAACAAAAAAACCAAAACATAACCAAAAAAAAAAACACTAAACACCAAAACCCTTCCCATGCAAGCTCCTCACACCAGTCTATTATC